AGATTTTTAAAGATTGCATTAATTTTAGTGGTTTTGGTCCCACCCCTCAGGCCCCAGGGGGGCAGGGATCATGAAATTCACAATTTTTGTTCCCCTTCACCCATAGATGCTTTGTGCCAAATTTGGTTGAAATTGGTTCAGTGGTTGCAGAGAAGAAGCTGAAAATGTTCAAATGTTAACACACGACACACGAAAGCGGATAGCAATAGGTCACCTGAGTTTACTCAGGTGACCTAATAAAAATGAAAAAAAAAAAATCAACTGTAAAATTCAAAATAATAATACAATTGAGATGAAAATACCAAGTGCACGCCTTCATATGGTGAATAATATGTGTACAAATTTGCAGACAAATACTTCCAATAGTTTCTGAGTAATGGTCCAGACAAAATCTCGTCTGTAGACAGACGGACATGGTGATTCCAATATACCCCCCCCCCCCCAAACTTCCTTTGCTGGGGGTTTAACAAATGTATGACTAACATTAGACAGAAAAACATGCACTGACACATATTAATTTAAAAACATAGGTAATCAGAGATTACAGAGCTCACCTCAACGAATGTTGTCTTTAAATAAGGCAAAGTCACATAATTAACCAACAAAAAGTGTACATTCCAAAAATGAAAATATTCATGCAATTTTGGTCTGATACTTTGAAATAGACCTATAATATAAAAAATTCAAACTAGTTCTTCATGAAAATGTAATTAAAATCCAGCATCTGAAGCAAATTTGAGAGTTTTCATCCCTTGATGCATCATTTGTGCAAGTTTGGTTTATACAATGTTATATATAAGCCTTATAGCTTTTTGGTAATAGACCTGCACCCATAACTTTTACCTGGTCCATTATCTGAAAAATGTATGTTGAATTCAGCATCCGAAGCAAGTCCATTAGTGTGCATCGTAAGATATATCATCCATGCAAGTTTGGTCATTAAAGAACTCATAGTTACTTGGAAATGAATAATGCACCAAAAACTTTAACCTGTTCACTCAACCAGAAAACGTAGGTCAGATTCAGCATCTGAAGCAAGCCTGGTAGTATGCATCCTTAGACATATCATCCATGCAAGTTAAGTCATTATAGGGCTCATAGTATATTAGAAATGAGACCTGCACCAAAAACTTTAACCTGTTTACTCAACCGGAAAACGTAGCTCAGATTCAGCATCCGAAGCAAGCCTGGTAGTATGCATCCTTAGATGTATCATCCATGCAAGTTTGGTCAACATAGGCTTATAGTTACTTGGAAATGAATAATGCACCAAAAACTTTAACATGTTCGCTCAACCAGAAAATGTAGGTCAGATTCAGCATCTGAAGCAAGCCTGGTAGTATGCATCCTTAGACATATCATCCATGCAAGTTAAGTCATTATAGGGCTCATAGTATATTAGAAATGAGACCTGCACCAAAAACTTTAACCTGTTTACTCAACCGGAAAACGTAGCTCAGATTCAGCATCCGAAGCAAGCCTGGTAGTATGCATCCTTAGATGTATCATCCATGCAAGTTTGGACAACATAGGGCTTATAGTTACTTGGAAATAAACCTGCACCAAAAACTTTAACAAGTTCACTCAACCAGAAAATGTAGGTCAGATTCAGCATCTGAAGCAAGCCTGGTAGTATGCATCCTTAGATGTATCATCCATGCAAGTTTGGTCAACATAGGGCTTATAGTTACTTGGAAATGAAATATGCACCAAAAACTTTAACCTGTTCACTCAACCGGAAAATGTAGGTCAGATTCAGCATCCGAAGCAAGCCCGGTAGTGTGCATCCTCAGATGTATCATCCATGCAAGTTTGGTCAACATAGGGCTTATAATTCCTTGGAAATGAGACCTACACCAAAAAGTGCACCAAAAATGTTAACCTGCTCCAAAAACATTAACCTGGTCATTCCTCTGCTGAAATTGCAGCATCTGAAACTTTGACTGGTACAATGAAACACACTAGAAGCATCTTCCATGCATGTCTAATCAATATAGGACATAGAAGTACTTAAAAAGAAAACTGCTCCAAAAAACTTAACCTGGGACGCCGACACCGACACCGACGCAGACGCCGACACCGAGGGTATTACATAAGCTCCCCCAACTTCGTTGAGGTGAGCTAAAAAAGGGGGGTGTCCTTGATCTCACATGGAGTTTCAAGAAATCCTAATAACCCAACTACAGTGGTCTATGAAACTGGATGAACATTTTGTGATTACAAACTCATGTACATGTAACTATGACCTATGAAAAGTAAATCTGATGTTGCCTTTCCTGCAATTTAAAAAGATATCCATTAAACAAGAGGCCAATACCCCAATATGTATTTTTTCAAGGATCCCACATATTTCCCTATTACCCCTCTAAGTGTCTACATAACGAATTTATCCTGTCGAAGATTTCTGAATAAAGTTCACACCTTTTCAGAGTTAGCAAACCATTCCATAACAATTGTTTACATTGTGACGTCGTTTAATGTTTATATGACGTTAGCTATTCGGCGTGCTCAACTGAATATATGATCTGTGCAGTATGGCACGTGGAGGGGAGCATACTGATTTGATGTGTGGTGGGTAGGTCACATGGAGGGGGCACATTAGTAATATGAGGTGGGTAGACAGCATAATATCATTTCATGCAGTATTCTTCTCGACCAATGAAATTTCACGATTTTTATCAGAGGCAGGATAATAGGGATTATACAGTAAGTATTATTTTTTTTATTTTTCCTATATTTCTATGTAAAACTTTGATCACCCACTATGGGCCCACCTAACCCCAGAGGTTATGATTTGTACAAATTCGAATTTACATTGTGTCAGAAAGTTTTCACACAAGTTTCATCTTTTCTACCCCAGTGGTTCTTGAGAAGAGATTTTTATATTTACACACACCCATTTTTCACTACTGTAAAACGAGAAAATTTGGCGCATACGTATTTTAGCGCAAACGCAGATGGGAATACATTGGCGCAAATAAATTTTAGCGCTTGCACTTGTCATTGAATTATATGAATGTCAATATTTTTTATCCACGCCCGTATTTGACTTTTTGGTTAGTCAAACACAGAATCACAATAGCACTCCCGTATATAAGTAAACATTCGTCAACTTAACCGTAGTGTTGCAATTACATGGACGTGGCACAATGTTAAATTTTATTTTAAATAAAAGAAATGGAGTATTTACGCATTTTATTCATATTCAAACAAGGCATGCATCGAATGAAAGTTACTTGGATAAACGGATATCATAATCAGGTATTGTCTGCAAGCTCAATCGCCATGCTTGATTGCATTGTTTACCTCGAGGCGATAGATGATTGACATGCCGAGAAGCCAAACTTTTAAGGTTCTAATGATAATTATCGGGTAACAACTAACAATAATTTCATTAAATTATAATTTGGCAGAACTTTCTCGATCGATCCTACCATGTTCACTCTAGTACGTATATAAAATTCATTACGTAATTGCGCATTCCGGTTTATATGAACTTATTTGAAAGCTTTGAACACAAACACAAAAAATATTTAGAAATCGTTAGCGCACAATAAATTTTAACGTTATGGGGATCTTGCTCCAAAGGCGCTAAAATTAGCAGTGCACCAAATATTCTCGTTTTACAGTATTTCTTGGTGATCTCCTCTTGGAAGAGGGTGTGACCCTTCAATAGAATAAAAAATTTGAATTCCAATCACCCAACAAAAGTCTGTGCCAGTTTTGGTTAAAATCTGCCCAGCGGTTCTTGAGAAGAACAAAAAATGTGAAAACTTTACCACGATGACAGACAACGGACAAATTTATGATCAGACAAGCTTACTTGAGCTTTCGGTTCAGGTGAGCTAAAAATGCTCTGTGCACGTACTGAAATATTTTCCCACCATATTCAATGAGTCAGAGCTGCAGGAATAATTTTTTTTTAATTTTCAGCAGATTTGTGATATTCAGAGAAACTAAAGAAACATGGTGAACAATTAACATGTTAAAATTACAGAAATAAAACATACATGTTGCATTACAACTACTCAGAAAAGGTCCAATAATCTCATAATTTTTCTACATTTATAAACTTGTAATTTCCAAGTCCACAAATCTAAATGTTAAAAAGTTACCAAAATTCCTCTATACTTATCCCACACAATTTACAGTTCATGCACTAAAAATAAGTAAATACATGTATGACGTTTTCAGTGCCCTCAATTCAATAACTGACATTTCACTGAATTCAAAATTTCTGTATCTGGATGAACAAATCTGGTTCGAGCCAGTGGTAGAGACAGACTAATTATCACCAAATGTAAGAATCTTACTGAAGACTTAATATTGCTAAATGGAATTTCCTATTCTAAAGGATTGGTCGGAGGTCTTTATCCTAGACTGTTAATTAAATTAGCTAATTATTTACTCAGGTTTAAGTTCATTAGCAACTTTTCTAAATTATCCAGGAAACTGTCTATCTTTAATCAATTGTTTATGAACAAACAGAAATTGATACGTACTATTTTTTTAACTAGATTTTTCAATTTCTTTTTGCAAGTACTGTACGACTGCACTAAATACCATAATAAATGAAGAAGTCATGGGCAATTACTGCATAAATCGAATATGGCTATGGACAATTAGACACAACTTCTCATAAAAATTATTAGCCAGACACTTGGTTGAAAGAGCAATGATGATAAATATGAAACTACACTACATAACAAAAATATCAGAAACTTGTAGCATTTACTCCTCTTCTTGGGAGGATTCCAGAAAACCAGAGTCCTGAAAGCCACATCAGTGAATTTTCCATTTCAAAGCATTCTCATGCTCTCGACCTACATACAGGTACATGTCATTTTCAAAGAAGAGCAGGACACAAACTCAATTGTATAATGTTTATCATAAGTAGCATATTAATCTAAGATGAGCTTTCTCGTCTAAACATTAAAGCTTGAACACATTCAGAAGTTTCTTTTGCAGATCTAAATTTCACTACCTCTCTGCCAACCTACCTCTGTAAAGATGGCTTCTTGGTGACAGGTGAATTCTGGCCTGATCTGTCTTCTACCAAAGCAGAGTTTTCTTTGGAATCATTTTTCCTTTTCATTGCAGCCTGCAGACAATTATTATATTTAATCTCCAACAGAGCAGTCTTTTTTTTCTCTTTTGAATCAATAAATACAGTCATGTAGCTTTTGAAAAATGAGGAAGTTTCAAATTTTTTCTATATATATGTATTTTTTTTTTTAATTTTATCAGATTCTTAAAAGAAATAATTTTTAACAATGTGAATATCACAGTGTCAAACATAATCCATCAAAAAAGAAGCATCTATTATATTATCACAATGCAGAACAATCCTGCAGAAATTATAACAAGAGGTGCAATGGCCAAGACTCTCAACTGAGTCACTGCTGCTAGCTCATTTCAATAGTTTTATTTTTTTCATTTTAAATTTCCCCCAATATTCAAATGAAAAACTTTTAATTGATAATGTGGCCCCATCTTACCCCTATATATTAATGTGAATAAACTAAATCTATATTACCTAATAGGAATAGTTCCATATTTCAAGCATGAATAGCTTGGGGCTTTGTTAACCTTTTGAAAATGATTTTTGAGAAAGGGTCAATTTTGAAAGATTTCTGCTTTCTATTTACGTACTCCTATTTATTACATTTTTACCCGTGAAATACTGTAATTTATTCATTGAATAAAAAATGATATCCTGTCACAGTGTGAAAGGATATCAAAATGATATCCTGTCACAGTGTGACGAATATCAAAAGTGCGGGAAAACTCTCGATTTCCTTTCTTGTAACGAAAATTGTTGTAAAAATATCTTCCTTGACCATATATAAGATAGATGGAAATAAATAAACCATTCTGACAGCGAATTAAACTGTTAAATTACCAAAAATATGTTGTCAAATTCATGTTTACAGTGTTTTCACCTCACTTAGCTATGACGTCTCAACCGCTCAACTATGACGTCACGAGTCCATGAATGTATTACAAAAGAGACAGAGGCAAAGGAAAAATCAAAGAATTTTTGTTAAAAATGTAATAAACAGAAAATTCAATGTTTTGTAGTTGAATATGGAATTTATTTCACGAGTGAGACAGGATTTTTTGATATTTTCACTCGTGCTTCGCACTCGTGAAAATATCAAAAATCCTGTCCCACTCGTGAAATAAATTCCATATTCAACTACAAAACATTGAATATCCTCTATGTATAGCTTTGATCCCCATAGTTGCCCAATCCTACCTTCAGGGGGTCAAAATTTGAACTTGAATTTACACTGACTGAGGATGCTTCCATGTAAATATGACTAACCCTGTCTTTCTGTTCCAGAAAAGAAGATTTTTAAAGATTTTTATTTATACATGTATTCATTTTATAAAATTTTGATCACCTTATGTAATCAAAAGAGCCCCGTCCTAACACCAGAACCCACCCTGGGGCCATGAAATTCACAATTTTGGAAAAGACACTCTTCCTCTTTATAACTATACATCAAATTTATTTGTTTAATAATTAATAATTAGGAATAATGAATTTTCATTATATAATCTATATTGCCCCATCCTAGCACAAGAACCCCTAACCCTGGAGCAATGAATTTCACAATTTGGTACCGTAGAAGACTAAATAAGACTAAATGCTAATTAAATTCATGCCAATAGTTTGACTGCTTGATGTCCAGGAGTAAAGAAAAAGATTTATAAAGATTATTGCATTAATTTTAGTGTTTTTTTTCCCCATCCCTTAACTCTTTTTCCCTTAGACCTTTCCCTCCTTTACCCCTTAATGACGACTTTTGACGCCTAGCCCCCAACCCTTAATGACGACTTTTGACGCACGTGTATTTCATTGTTGATTTGACTTGAAATTACCGCTTGTTTACAAATTATCAGAGCACAGGTGGCCACCTGCAGGTTAACAATAGATGATTGCATCATACTACAGTTAGAAATCAAGTGATTTACCTGTGTAAACAAACAATAGAATCTTGGAAAGTCCCACCAAAATTCAAAATGGCGGACTGTTACATACGATGTTTTTTGAGCATATAACTCAGTAAATACGCAATATTTTCTCATCCAGTAAAGCATTACATGAAATTCAAGCAGTAAACTACCTATTTTTTGAAAGGTTTGAAAATTATAATGATCTGTATGTGTAATATATGTCAACATAAGTTACGAAAATTTTGTGAAGTTTGGGACCACGCAGTGCCGATTTCGTTACCTGTTTCTCACAAATTCAAAAGATACCTTCCATTTTACACATATTCATAAATATAAAGGTGTAGAAAATAATTATTTTAACAGAATTGGATCATTAAAGTATCCAAAAACGTTCAGAAATCAAGTTTTAGGACGCAAGTCTGAAAACTTGTCGGCGAGATTGACATTGAAGATGCACTACAATTTATTGATTTCTGAGTTATTAAACTTATAAAATTGATAATAAATAATAATTTAACCATCAATAATATCATCACACATGGTTTTTATTATTTTTACAGACAACTTTTGCTTATTAAAGCCGTTTTACATGTTGAAAATATCTATTTTTCTATTTACACCTGTTTCACCTGAATTATTTTTAAACAGAAAATTCTGATCGAAATTATGTAAAAAGATTTGAAAAATTTAATTTATTACGAATCTAATGATATATAATACATAGTATAAATGAAATATATTGACCCTTATTAGTTCAGTTTTAAACTGCACTCCAATTCATCTAAAACGCTTTAGGGGCAGCCAGGCAAACACTCTAAGGATATGGCCAGTGCGTCAAATCGTGGCATTAAGGGGTAAAGAGTTAAGCATCCACGGAGGGAGGGAATGTGAAATTCACAATTTTTCTTCTCCTTCAACCATAGATGCTATATGCCAAAATTGGTTGAAACTGGTTGAGGAGTTGCAAAGGAGAAGCTGAAAATGTTTAAATGTCAACACACTTCAAGACGAAAATGGGTAGAATAGGTCACCTGAGTTTACTCAGGTGATCTAAAAATGGGGATTGACAGAATGTTAAATGGACAGTGATTACTTAAAGAAGTCCTAACATTGTTTTCACAAGCTACAAATTTTAAACAATTACCTTGACCAAAATGGCCCATACCTGTCTCTCTTTAATCCTTCGCATGGAACTGAGTGAACTAGCAATAGAATTATACTGAGCTTCTCGACGAGGTCGCTTCTGGCTGTTTTCTCGTTCACTATCCTCCCAGTCTGTCTCTGATAGATTGGTCATATTCAGAGTGCGTTTGAGGGTGGGGGTCTTCAGACGAGGAATAGTGTAGCCTTGGGTGGAGAGGTCAGGAAGATTGTCCGGCAGGGAGGGGAGAGAAGAGGTGGAGGCATTAGACTGCTGGCTTTCTTGTCTCCTACAAAATAAACAAGAGGACCATTGACCACAACACTCACCTGAGCAACACTGGTTCTTCTTTTTCTCAGAAAATTTTAAAGAGATGTTTTTCTTCTCGTTTTCCCATGAAAAATACTGAGCCCATATTGTATCCCAACCCCATTCCTTAGGTATGAGGGTTGTTCGATATGTATTGTGTATTGTACCATAGCGCGATAACGCCTTGCACGATTTCGTCGATATTTATGCGCCTGGATAACTCTATTTAATACCTTGCCAATAGTATAAACACGAGCCTTCATCTACACATGGTTATAAAATAATCGTCATTTCAATAGAGCCAGTCGTTGACCACTGTTGTAAAAATAGTTGGGAAAAGGTTGAGAATATTGAAGAAATTAGAGCTTATATAAAAGTTCGCACAAAACTCGGTAATTCGGTAAAGCAGATTTTTACTGAATTGGGGAAGTTTATGCAGAGCTGTGGAAAACTTTTTCAGATAGCCAGTCATTCGGACTGGCGAGAAGACAAAATATGTCGGTCCGAAGTGATTTTTGCCGGTCCGAAATAGTAAGTTGCAAAATTAAAAAGAAAAGCATACCATTATTTTCTTAATTACACTTTACTTAATAATAACATTCAGTCTCCATTTCCAAGTCCTCCTCCGTTTTCGTTTTTTGCATTTATTACAATACTAGATTTCATCACTTTTGGGCAGGTGTCAATGATAATTCTGCATAGTAAACGTAATATTTTTTAAAACATTAATGCATTTGCGAATTAGATTTTACCTCGAAAATGAGTCTAATAAATTCTGTGATTAAATTAAGATACCACCATCATGAAATCGATGGAAAAAAAAACGAAATCTGGGACGGTCGGGAACGGCGGAGGTACTAGGTATACTGCTTTACTTAACTGTGTTTGAATTTTTTCTTTAGAAATGTTTTACATACCCAGGTATTTAGCCTGCCTTCATCTTTTTTTATGTTTTCTACCTAATTCTGTCCTATTTGTAAATTTAAAAGGTCACGCGAGACAATATTGGTTTCGCTTTCATTTCCTATAGATCTAGCCTCGATCTCGTGCAAAGAAAAAGTATTGCGCAATCGTATATAAGGTACAATAATTAAGCTGGGAAGTGCGCCTATGATAGGCCTGAATTAAAAATGAAAAAACAAAAACCTTTAATAAAGAAAGAGGTCGGTCATTTGGACCGACATCGATAGCATTTTTACCGGTCACGGGCATTTTTTGCCGGTCTTGCCGGCATGACCGGCAGTTTTCCACAGCTCTGTTTATGGGTCTGATAGGGTATCTTATGAGACAGTTCGTAGGTGGAGACAGAAATTTCTGACTGGCACAGAGTCCGTCAAAGATGCAGCAAAATCGGGTCGACCTGTGACTGTATCAGGCAAGACAAATGTCTCAAAAGTCAAGGAAATAATTGAAAGTGATGGCAGGTACACGATTCGTGATATTGCCAAAGCTGTTGGCACATTGCTATCGCGGGTGCATTTCATTTTGAAGTGTATTTTGAAAGTACGAAAGATTTCTGCCAGATGGATACCCCATATATTGACAGATGACCAAAAAAAGGTACGAATACAAACCGCTAAGCGACTACTAAATATGTTTCGAAACTTCAATCAAAGACATTTTGCAAACATAGTTACTGGTGACGAAACATGGGTTCACTATTTCGAACCAGTAAGAAAAGTTGGAAACAAATTATGGCTAACCAAACACGGTAGAAGGCCTGTAGTTGCCAAAAGGACAATGAGCACAAAGAAGGTTCTTTATTGCATATATATTCTTCTCTTGTGATGGTTTAGCCGCACAAATTCCGGTGCCGAAGGACAATTTGTTACAGGTCGGTATTACTGAGATGTTGTACTGAAAAAGCTCAAGAAATATTATCAGAAACGACGTCCTGTGTCGGGATTTAGGCATGTTCGCCTTCTTCATAATAATGCTCCATCACAAACATCTGAGCTTGTGGAGCAATTTTTGAAGTCTGAGAAGGTTACCGTCTTGCCACACCCACCATACTCTCCGGATCTAGCACCATGCGACTTTTTCCTTTTTCCAAAACTTAAAAAGTTCTTATCTGGTCGTCGATACAAGTCCCGACAGGCCCTTGGCTCACCCGTCAGTCAGTGCCTCAGAGGTATACCTAAATCGGCTTACCGTGACGCATTTCAGAAATGGATTCAGAGATTAAAATTGTATATTTCAAATCATGGAGAATACTTTGAAGGGATGTAATGTCCATTTGACTATTTGAATCGAATGCTTTTGAGATATTGTACAATACACAATACATATCGAACAACCCTCGCATCATGACTTAATCAAACTTGAATTCATGCATCATAAAAGTCCTTCGATATCAAAATGGGTGTAAAATAAATTCAAGATCTTCAAATTTGAGAGCATTCAGTGAAAAATGTCAGTAATGAAATGACTTCTATAAACCTACAATATAAGTCTACCAGTTCACAGATTTTAGTTCAAGTTTCTTTACATGTTTAGATATATATTTATATATGCCTTGTAAATGGAACATAAAATATACTGTAAACGTATTATATTTGACTGTGTATTCTTTTTAGCGTTTTTGGCGGAAAGAAATATCCGCTAATTCAAGTACACCACTAAATGTCTCACATATATATCTATAAAGAAGAACATTAAGATATGTGCTAAATCAAATCCACACTAACTTGTTCAAAATCTAATTTGCACCAAATATCGTACACCCTAAATATAATACATTTACAGTATATAGTTATTAGCCTTGAAAAGTCTCCCTAGAATTTTTAACAAGAGGCCCATGGGCCACATCGCTCACCTGAGTAACTTGGGTGATGCAGATCTTTTTAAAAGATTTGTTCTATATATATTTCTATGTAAAACTTGGGATTCCCCATTGTGACCCCGCCCTACCCCCGAGGGTCATAATTTTAACTATTTAATATCTACACTACCCAAGGATGCTCCCACATAAGTTTCAGCTTTCCTGGCCAAGTGGTTCTTGAGAAGAAGATTTTCAAAGATTTGTTCTATATATTTCTATGTAAAACTTGGATTCCCTGTTGTGGCCCCGCCCTATCCCCGGGGGTCATGATTTTTACAATTTAATATCTACACTACCCAAGGATGCTTCCACATAAGTTTCAGCTTTTCTAGTCCAGTGGTTCTTGAAAAGAAGATTTTTAAAGATTTGTTCTATATATTTCTATGTAAAACTTGGATTCCCTATTGTGGCCCTGCCCTACCCTCGGGGGTCATAATTTTTACAGTTTAATATCAACACTACCCCAGGATGCTTCCACATAAATTTCAGCTTTCCTGGCCCAGTGGTTCTTGAGAAGAAGATTTTTAAAGATTTGTTCTATATATTTCTATGTAAAACTTGGATTCCCTATTGTGGCCCCGCCCTACCCCCGGGGGTCATGATTTTAACAATTTAATATTTACACTACCAAAGGATGCTCCCACATATGTTTCAGCTCTCCTGGCCCAGTGGTTCTTGAGAAGAAGATTTTTAAAGATTTGTTCTATATATTTCTATGTAAAACTTGGATTCCCCATTGTGGCCCCGCCCTACCCCCGGGGGTCATGATTTGAACAATTTAATATCTACACTACCCAAGGATGATCCCACATAAGTTTCAGCTTTCCTGGCCCAGTGGTTCTTGAGAAGAAGATTTTTAAAGATTTGTTCTATATATTTCTACGTAAAACTTGGATTCCCTATTGTGGCCCCGCCCTATCCCCGGGGGTCATGATTTGAACAATTTAGAATCTGCACTACCCAAGCATGCTTCCATTTAAGTTTCAGCTTTTCTGGCCCAGTGGTTCTTGAGAAGAAGATTTTTAAAGATTTGGTCTATATATTTCTATGTAAAACTTGGATTCCCTATTGTGGCCCCACCCTACCCCCGGGGGTCATGATTTTAACAATTTAATATCTACACTACCCCAGAATGCTTCCACATAAATTTCAGCTTTTCTGGCCCAGTGGTTCTTGAGAAGAAGATTTTTTAATGACCCCACCCTATTTTCGTATTTTCTTGATTATCTCCCCTTGGAAGGGGTCTTGGCCCTTGATTTTAACAATTTAAATTCCCCTTAACCCAAGAATGCTTTGTACCAAGTTTGGTTAAAATTGGCCCAGTGGTTCTTGAGAAGAAGTTGAAAATGTGAAAAGTTTACAGACGGACGGACGGACGGACAGACAGACGGACGGACGGACGGACGGACGACGGACACCGGGTGATCAGAAAAGCTCACTTGAGCTTTCAGCTCAGGTGAGCTAAAAACTTCTCTCATTTTGTCTGCTGGAGAGAAATGACATTTCAACTTATGGATATGGGTTCATCTCAGGGCAATTTTTAAGGTCAGACGAGACGTTCCTCAACATCTGTTTTGTATATTTTCATAATGTATGAAAAATATTCAAAATCTTAATAACATTCTAATTTCTAAACCAGTTTCTAAACGTTTTTTTAAAAATCCAAACACTTAAAAATTTGAATTTGGAAAATTAAAAGGATTATATAAGGAAAACTATCCCTGGTATCTTGCAGAAATGCCTGGTAAGGTACCTCAATTTTTTGTGAGTAAACATGTTTAAGGTGCAATACTTCAATGACAAAATCTTTGAAAAATTTATCTATTATTGAGGAACGTCTCGTCTGTCCTTAAATACTTTTTTAAATGTTTCACAAATGCACAAATGCTATAAGTTTCCCTATAATTAGAAAATTCTTCAATATGGAGGTTTTGTCATCATAAACTTTGGGTTTAAGTTTGAACTGCAACTCTCTTAAATTCCAACTTCATACCTTCGCTTTGCCATTTGCCCCTGAACATCCGATATGGTGACATCCATTCCCTCCATGGTTCTTTTCCTACTAAAATTTTATTTGAAAAATAAATGATTGAAATACATCTACTCAAGCAAAAACTTAAGTTAACACAAACTGTTAAACAACAAAGTTAAATGATCATCAACAATGTAGTTCAAGGTTTACTTGGGTCCTTTTTATGAATTTCTGAAAAATCAAAGCTGCACAGTTTCATTTAAAAATGCATTAAATATCAGTACCATCCTTTTTGATTGCATTTATATTGAAACTAATGTAATTTTCAATAAGTCTATACATTAATTAGAAATGGGAAACAGTCAATAAATTAATAAAGAACTTCATGTTTACCTTAACAAAACTGCATATAATGCATATTAATTTACTTAAGTACCTATATTCTACATTAGATACTAGTACTACACTTTTATCATATAATGTTGTGTATTTTGATCCTATAAAAAATGGTTGTCAGGGGTGTGCAACTGCCATAGCCCGACGCCTCTGACTACCAATTTTACAGGTCTGGCTATCGTAAATCTACACTGCGTTAGCCTGTCGGGCTAGTAAATCTAAAATGAAAGTAAACATATATTTACGTCGACTGAATTGATGTAAAAAATTAACTTTTGTAAAATCAAAATTTTCATTTATTTTAACTTACATGTATATGTATTGCATTGCTATCGCCAATTGTATCAGTGACAATTATACAGTCCATAAAAATAGGGAGAAGTACGTGACAATTACAAAGCTCAAACTATTATTTGTTTTATTTATTGCAACTTAAATGTTTTTTAACCTTTTCATGTATTTATGTATTTTCTTCGGTAATTAAATGGGCCAGTGACTGGCAACATTCGGCTACTGCCACTAGCCCGACCGGCTAGTAACTAATTTTTGTAATTGCACACCCCTGGTTGTAAAGCTTATTCAAATTGAATTATTAGAGAATAACTTACAACCTGGGGTGAAAAATCAAGTTACAATTGTCAAAAAATTATGCACTTCATACGTGAGTGACTTTACTTCATCCGATTAAGTTTTTAATGATTGAGGCAATACTGTAAACCAATTATTATATGCGTCATTTTTTATTCGCGACTGACCGCTAGAGAACTAATCCGCGACGATTTATTTCCGCGATCAAGTGGTCATATTTTTTTTTATTTCCACAAGTATTTTTTTGTATCAAATCAAAAATTTATATCCGCCCATAAACTAGGTAAAATGCTACCGTGAGTACTGCTTACGCATTATCATTCAAGACATTCTGTGCATTGCGTCCATTTAAAATCTTATATCCGCACCTAAAGTAGGTAAAATGTTGCCAGGAGTATACTTCTTACGCATTATTCACGAAGCTCGAATGAAAATCGGGGAAAAAATCGAGGAGATTAAAGTTGATTTCAAACTCTCAAGTGTAAAAGTACCTCATGCAAATTGGGTAATTGACGCTTTATAAGATCTACATAGCCAAAGGGCAATTATTACAAATGGTTGGGACAGAGCAGGGCTGGCCATAATTAGTCGTAATTAACCTAACTCGTCTGTGACAATAATAACACAATCTGAAATAATTATTGACATTTTAATAATTTTTAGACAAATAGTTTTAGACTTGCCATTCCTTTAGATATTTTTTCTGAATGTTTGTAATATCAAATTTCAACTGCTTCTAGAACACTAAAGTTCTTCCGTAATTACTTATTGAACCGTCGGGATCGGTATTCAAAAAAAGGGCAAATAACTCCGATCATAACATGGAAAAATGAACAACTGGTTCGCGACGATAAATATCCGCGAGCAGAGGTTACTCGCAGAACTCGCGGATATTTATCGAAAGCGTATAATACTTGGTTTACAGTAACTAATGTGACATTGGACAACACTTTGCATCTTACCTTTTCTCTTTTAAGGCAGATAATACTGCTTGTGTGTTAGGTGTAGTCTTTACATTTTCATTTTTCACTTGGAATAATCTGAAATATGTGTCATAATCAGTTTAATACCACTGCTTTATACTTGCAAGAACTATGTGGAAAAATTGAACTTCACATTTCAATGCAAACAGAGAGTGTGTAACAAATAACTTTTTATAAGATTAATATATCTGCTAAAACAGGAACACTTTTGACCTTGTGTTATTAATTCTTCTTGAATCAGGAGGAGCAATCTTCACAGTGTTTGGACTTTTCCCTATCGTTCTGGAGCTTGGAGAAAACACGGGTCGTTCTCGTCTTCCCAGTCTGACTGCAGGTAAAAAGCCAGCCATTGGCCTCTCTGGATAGGCTGCTGCAACTTCTGGAGTTTTTGTAAGAGGGCTGAAAGGAACATAAAATTATGATCTAACCTTTTAAAATTTTTGCTAGAAAATCAGCTTGAATTGAATTGGTAAAAATCCCAAAAGTTTTCTTTTTTATCAATTGTTGAAATTTCTTGATGTTGACAGTAAGATTCAATAAATTTTTCAAATATTTATTTACAGTGTATGCATGACACATGTACAATAGTCAATACCTTCTAGATACATTATCGAGACCAAGAGCTTTTCTGACGGTAGGTAGAAAAGGAATGGATGTTAAGCGACTGTCCGTGATCCTTGAATTATTAAAATCAGACCTCCTACCAGCAAACGAATGGTTTCTTGAAACGGCATTGCGACTTCGAATTCTGTTCTCCAGTGGCGGTGAATTTGAACCAAATTTCCATGGCGATCTAACAGTTGATTTGCTCACTTTTGATTTATCTTGGAATGACCTGTTTAAAAACATGTTTAAAAAACCACCATTTGTTACTGCTAATCTTTCCTTTTCGCCACCAGGACCTTTTTGCTTCTTTTGCTTTCTCTTATCCGCGCGAATCCAACCACTCGACGACCATCTTTCGAACAATACACTCGCACATAAAATGGATATCGATGTAAAAATAAAAGTTCTAAAAGCCACCAAATTGATGAAAACTACAATTAAAAGGAATGGTATGATTAAAACCACTCTAAAATCAAACATTATTTTCAGACGTATTTCATTTTCACGCGGTTTCGTCGAGATTAAATTCTGATATCCGGTATAACTGTTTCGAGAAATATCGAACCCGACTTTATTATAATTTATGGCCCCAGCTGGCATTTGAACAAATATAAACTGCACTGCCAGAGGATGCTTTGATTCTCCATAGATTTGCTGTTCTTGAGAAAAGGAATTTTAAAATATTTTCCTATAGACTATAGGCCCCTCTCTATATATTTTAATTTATTCATTTTGACAATTTTACACAACATGTGGCGCAAGTAATATACATGGTATATAAACAAATATATAGTCACATGAAATTTCTCTAATATTAAATGAACCACGTATGAAGTTACAAATATTTTTATATTGATATAACATCTGCTGGATTAAAATTTCCTAAGATTTACACGTATTGTTAAAAAGTGTACAATATTCACTTCGAAGTTGTTTATAAAACTCTGAGGACATGTTTAAAAATAAAAATTGATGTTCATCTTCAACAACAGTTTGACAATTAATATAATCTTTTATCTCTTGGTATAGCTGGATTACAATATCTGCCAACCTCTATCTGTAATTTGTGGACACTTAATTTATAAAGAGTCAAACAAAAAAAAGATGGAATATTCTTGGAAATGAAAAAAAAATGGTTGAATTTCAATCTTGTTTAGATTAAAATTATAATTTTCCATTACATTTTTCTTTGTTATCAGACCCGTAGGATTTCAGTTTTTTTTTTTTTTTTTTTTTTTGAGGGGGGGGGGCAGCCATATATCTTATTTTGGGATACTATCAACTACCAAAAAATTCTTTGACAAGCAAAAAAATTTATAAGAATAATAATAAAAAGAGTGAGACATCCTGCAGTGTACATGTGTATCGGCAAAATTATTGGGAGTCACGTTCTCAGACTCTCCGTGCCCCCCCCCCCCTCCTCCGGTTCCTACGGCCATGGATATTACTAATGTAATGAAAAGTATATTCTCTAAATACTCAGGTTTTTAAATTGTTTTCAAAATCATTTATAGATAATGTATTAGCAATTGAACTAATAACTGCATCAAGTATTATTCGTTTCTATAATTATATACAGTTTTGCTAACATTTTTGCAATTTCCTGCAAGTTTTATCCTCTATATATGGTGATCTTAAAAGCTTAACAAGTTTAAGCTTTAAGCTAATTAAAATAAAATTGTGCGAGTAAAAATATCAACCATTTGTAGTAAACAAATTGCAGTATCTCACAATTTCAAAATTCCTCATCAAAATGCGACAGCAAGAGGTCTGTTGACCACATCGCTCACCTTGTTACTGTGACCAGGAAAAACAGTTTAAATAAGTTTAGTATGGAAAGGTTTAAATATAAAAGGGGGAGTAGTGATTTGAAAAAAAAAACTTGAATGAGTAAGTACCTGAGAGTGTTTCTGAATTAATAAGACTAATCAGATTTTTAAATACATTGTTACATGTATTTTTCCTATTTATTCCTTTGATCGCTCATTCAGGGCTTTCCATATCATCGGGGGTCATAATATGAACGAACTTGAATCTGCACTACATGAGGATCTTTTTATATGAATATGGTCAACGAAGGCTTTGCTGTTCTTAAAAAGATTTTTGAAAGATCTTCCCTTTGTATTCCTATATATTCAAATGTGATCAATGAAACATATGGAGATAACAGTATTCAAGATTAAAAGTCTGTAAAACAATACAAAACAGGAGCAGAGCAAACACGGACCTCCAAAACATCAGAGGTTGGATAGGTGCCATGAAGGAGTGAGCATCCCCTGCCGACCGGTCACACCCGCCGTCCTTGTTATGATCGGGAAATATCGGGAAAATCCGACGTCAATTCAGTGTATAAATAATGGATAATAATTAGTATGAAAAACGTCAGTCGGCATTTGACTCAATGATAAATCGTATTGCTGACAAGGTCATAATATCGACAATAGAGAAATGATGACTTTAAACGAGACTACTGATATTCTTGTTTCATCAACTTGTTTCTCAATAATTTACCTCGTTTTAGAACTGATATTCTTGTTTTATCAACTTGTTTGTCAGTAATTTACCTCGTTTTAGAAATTGTTCATACGTAAAGCATGCTCCACTGAGATATATAAACTCTCTATGCAGGTGATGAAAGTAATATATTACAAGTTGACGATAGAAAAGTTAACGTCATCACGTTTATCATAGTACTTGGTTGTTAAATTTCCATTAATGTCTTTTTTCAAGTAAAATATCTAAGTATGAAACAAATGTGTCAGACTCTGTGGTATCTTTTGTCTCAAGCTCCCCAGGATATATCGTATCGACACGAATTGAAATTACCAATTGTTAATTGATTGTACGTCATCGATATATCTAAATATCGAGTTGAGCGCCACAGCTAGTATTTCTTTTTTTCACGCATAAGATTCTGCTTCATATGAATATAAAAATGGTCTGCTAATAACGGAGCGGAATTGATACCCAGATTGTTGGAAGACCTGCATGGTCCCCCCAAACCATCATGGTCCTAACCCTGACCCCGCAGCGGTTATGATTTGAACACATTTTATTCTACGTATATAAACTACCCGAGGATGCTTAAATTCCACATAAGTTTCATTTTTACCCAATTGTTTTTGAGAAGAAGATGCACTTAATAGATATTGGGAAGTGAGTCAGAGAATCGAACACCTAATGATCACGAGCCCACTAATAAATTAAGAAATGAAAGCTTGAGAATAAAAAAAAGCTAAAAAGGAAAAATAAGTTAACAAACACTCGACCGAGTCTATCAGCGACGGCCACTGCTATGATGAGATGCTCAAAAGAGACACTAAAACATCATGAGGGATTGCGGGGAATCACACATCACGAAAAAAGGGGAACCAGAGAAAACGGCAAAAGAGACGTTAACAATGGCAATAACAGTGCAAAGATAGGTTGAAAACAGGAAATGCCTAATCAATACCACTTTTTTGTAATAAAATGATAAAATGCCAATTTTCCATGTGTATTTCCAATGTTTTATACGCATTTTACTTGCTAGTGATATGGAATTCTTCAAAAATCACTTTTCATTCTTTAATTTTTTAACATCCCAGTGTAACAAAATAGGGTTCAATCTACTTTATATACTCTATTATGGATTTCTAAAGTTCATAAGAATTTTTACAAAGAGAGCAATTTCTGCTCTATCAAACCTTCATCTCTACAGTGAATCTTTACTCATCACAAAAATATTTAATTCGGTATAGAAAAACATCAGCCAACTCCGAACTTTCGGATGCGACGTTGAATGGGAATTGCAACACCCTTGGTATGCTTAAGGATGTACAACACACCTATCTCAAAAAATTCCTGTCGTTTAATTTTCGTTATTTTTGTATATTTAGTACATGACTATATCTACTGCATGTATGCACATTTTGGACAAAATCGTTCGAGTGGTTTTTGGACAAGAAATTCCAAAAGTTACCCCCTTTAGCTGTTTACAAGGAGAGAAAATTTTTAATCAATGAACTACTTAAACCTTGATTTTCAAAAAAGCCAGGTTAGATATAACTGTCAAATTTCATTGACTTATTCCTTTAACTATTTTTAAAACACAAAAACATAGTCAACTTTTTTTTATATACGTATCATCAAAACAATTTTTAAAGACCGTAAACTGAAAAACTATGCATTATTATCTAGGCCTTGAAAATTGTATATTTTTCAAATTCAATTTTTTTTGTGTGAAAAAACCTGTCGTTTAATTTTCTAATAATAATCTAATAATCGTTTTTCTGGCTTTTCAAAAAGGAGGAAGTGCATTAAGTCTGCCAGAGAAACCCCAACACTTTCCAAATCGTTTACTAGTATACAATATCTAAATTTATACCGCCGAATTATTGTTGAAACATTGCTGACTCGGCGTAAAACAACAATAATCAATCAATCATCATCAATAAAAAAAATCTTCTCTGCTTCTCCATATAAGTACTATATAAGGTTAATTTTAATGCCAGATTTCATTATTTGCAACATCCATGTTGTCTCTGGATACTGGTTCTTGCAAGTAATTCTTTGGAATTTCTAAAGGATCCGGAGATAAGCCGACATGTGTTTATATTCTTATGAAACACGTCTAGCTACACGAAAAGCAACAACCATTTACCGTGGCCTTACACTCGACATTTAGCAAGTTTTATCAATTCAAAATAGCTACTTCCATGTCTTATATCGCGCGTCGCCCGAGTGGCGCAGTGGTTTTTAAATCCTTACGTTGCGGTTTCGAATCCCACCGTGGGACGTGGAGACCGGTCCTTCGAGACCGTATAAATCGAAGTCCCGTGTTGCAGTAGGTGCTGGCACGAAAAAGATCCCTCACTGCTCAATGGCCTTCAGTGCCGAGTACAGGACAAAATTTGTAGTTCTCCATGACACCGGCAAGTGGCGGCGTCTCCATTTGAGACAGTGAAAAATTCTCGAGAGGGACGTTTAACAACATGCAAATAAACAGTGAATTCTTAAATATTTGTTACCTTCCCCTATTCCATCATCCCCATTTGATGTACAAATGTACATGTATATGAAAATAGCACAGGCACCTGACGTTACTTATTTTTCTTTTCATAAAAAAATGTACACATACATGTACCTAATAATAAACCTTGTTAGGTCACTCAGCTATCCGTTTTCATCCGTCGTCGTGCGTCGTGTGTTGTGTATCGTGTGTTAACATTTGAAAATTTTCAGCTTCTTCTCTGAAACCCACTGAACCAATTTCAATCAAATTTTGTATACAGCATCTATGGGTGAAGGGGAACAAAAATTGTGAATTTTATGGTCCCCCCCCCCTGGGGCCTGAGGGGTGGGGCCAAAACCACTAAAATTAATGAAATCTTTAAAAATCTTCTTTACTCCTGCACATCAAGCAGTCAAACTGTTGGCATGAATGTAATGAGCATTGAGTCCTCTACCAAAATTGTGAAATTCATGGCCCCAGGATCAGATTATATAGTGAAAATGCATTTTTTCTTTGAAAATCTTCTCTGCTCCTGGGTACTAAATAAAATAACTTAGTAACTTGTGAATGTTATGGCCTCGGGGTCAGGGGTTCTGGTGTTAGGGCGGGGCTCTATTGATTATTATAGTGAAAATACATTAATTCTTTGAGAGTCTTCTTCTCTGCTCCTCGGTATTGAACAAACTAACTAAAACATAGTTATGATGAGCAAGAGTGCCTCTTCCAGAACTGTGAATTTTATGGCAGAGGGTCAGGGGTTCTGGTGTTAGGGCGGGGCTCTATTGATTATTATAGTGAAAATACATAAATTCTTTGAAAATCTTCTTCTCTGCTCCTGGGTATTGAATAAACTAAGTACATAGTTATGATGAGCAAGAGTGCCTCCTCCAAAATTGTGAATTTTATGGCCCCAGGGTCAGGGGTTCTGGTGTTAGGGTGGGGCTCTATTGATTATACATGTATAGTGAAAATACATTAATTCTTTGAAAATCTTTTCCTTTGCTCCTGGGTATTATGCCAATGATCTAAGTATATATATATTTATGAAGAAGAAAGGTGCATCTAGCAAAATGGCTATTTTCATGCCCCCTGGGTCAAGGGTATCGGGGGGGGGGGGAGGGTATATAGTCTGAAAATAAATTAATGCTTTGAAATCTGCTCTTCAGTATTAATCAACCATTTATGATGAAATAAAATTTATGATAAAATTGCCAAAATTTTGAAATTTGTGGCCCCAGGGTCAGTGGTTTCTGTGGGGTGGAGTACATAGCTGGTATAAAGTGGAAGTGAATTTTCTCTTTGTTACTCTGATCTACCTCTTGGTATTAAGTAACTAGAGTAAGCATGCTAAGTATATATTTGTAATAAGCAATAGTGTTTCTTTCAAAATTGTGAATTTCATGGCCTCTGGTTTAAAACACAAACCAAATTCAATTGTTGGAAAGTTGTTACATGATACTCAGGTGACCTACAAGGCCCATGGGCCTCTTGTTTATTATTAGGTATGTGTATATTTCTTTTATTAAAAGAAAAATAAGTAACGTCGGGTGCCTGTGGAAAATAGAACATAATTGTCTGCAAGACTAACTGATGGCTTGCAACGAAGGGTGAAAATTTTTGTGTATGTTTGCACATCAGTAAGAACCACGAACGATAGTATTGTTCTCCCGCCTACCTCTAAGTCAATTCTCAAAAGTTAACATATTCGAATGATTTTCAAAATTTTTATAGATATTTATATGAATTTTAATAAAACGTTACTTTTTTGGGATACCAAAGAGAGATAACTTTATAATTTTGGTAAAACTTAGAAATCAATGGAAAACAGAAAATATTTTTAAAACATCTTTCCCCCCGTGAAACAAAAATTCCTTTTTTCAGGTATTATAGACTGTCATTTTACAAATTTATGCCAAAGCTTTTTGTGTTTCACGGGGGGGGGGGGAACATATGTTTATGGACAAAAAACGAAAAAAAATGCAGATTTTTCACCAATTTTAAAGCTATTTACAACTAAATAATTGTATTTTATTAATTTATATATGTTTTATTTATTTGCGTAAAACATAAGAAAAGATATGAGATACATTTTATCATATTTAAGACTATTTCAAAATATGGTGGTTTTTGAAAGTTCGATTTCACTAGAAAATATCGTGTACCCCCCTTTTTTCGAGAGCTGAAATTAATGATAATTTACTATCTAGCGCTGGAATTAAAATGATTAATCAATTACCATAGAACTCTTCTTTGTATTAAACAAAGATTTAATGGCCAAATTGCCATTAAAATTGAATTTAATGGGTGCAAAATGTAGGCGGGAATCAAGAGTTAGAGTACGTAGTTCTTTACACGTTCGTGGCTAAGTGAAGAACATGTATATTAAACTGTTGTTGTTTCCACATGTAACTACATGTACTTGATAAACCAGAACTTAATACACAACAGTGCAGCCAGTACTTTTTTCTTGAACAAAAATTAAGTTCAAATCTTGCACAACATGGCGAGAATCCGTAAAAAATGCGATGGTATGAAATATTGTGTTACATGGATACACGTGAATTCTTTCTTAAACTTCACTTCTAAACCACAAAGATCTGCAATTTCCTCATATCACTTGGTGACCAAGGATTGTGCACATTTTGATAAGTGTACATGTATTCTATTTTAAACGTGGGATTCTGACGACGTTTGCAAATGAACAGGATAATATGTGTTAAAAATATTCACGATTAAACCTTAAATTTTGATGCCCCTTGTCCAAAAATGTTAATCGCATGAAAATCTGACATATGTAGTATCGTACATGTATTTGATTGGGACGACCAGAAAAAAATAGTCGAGAACTTCGCTAAAAAATGACTACAAAGATACATGTGTATGTGCCTGCAAGTGCCGTTAAAAAAAAAAACAAAGGAATTTAGGTGTTTTTGATGCAAACATTTTTGCCGTATCTATACGGACTTCTTCAGCTATTAATTATAAAGTACCAAGATTTCAATTCTTCTGTTTGTCCCAATGCATGTCTGAATGTTTCAACTTGCTATCTCTAAAATTGATTAACTCCAAGTTTCATATGTTTTCGTCAGTTTTGAGGAAAAAAAGTCAGGCAACGTCATTTTTCAGAAATAAACGTCAACTAGGTAAGTTTATATGCTAACACCACTACATTTCAGTAAATTCATTTCATACATTTGAACCCTTGAGTTATCTCTCTTGATATATTACTTCTGGGTCGTCGCTTCCTGTTGTGCCTTAGCACTCATTAACCAGAATTTCCCTGAATAAAATTAAAAACAAAAACACAGTATTCACAATATAACAGACATTTTAATTGCTCAGTCATGGTAATGAACTGTCAACAAAAATAAAAACCTGGTGAACAAGAGTAGTGCTCCTCTAAAAAGCAAAAGGCAGGTCTGAACAACTAATATAACATTGTAGTATAATCAGATACACCAAAGTCAACATGCTCTAGAAGAAATTACATTCAAAATCTGCCCTAAACAATTAATAAACACAGAAGACCACTGATACATATATTTAAAAAAATAAATAATTAGCCTTAATGCTTCTAAAACCATGTAAAAAGTTGTAAGCTACTGAATCAAAGTTTATAAATGAACAATTTTTCCTTGCACAACTTTTGAACTTTGTTAGCTGTCATAATGTAGCCCTCTCCCCTTTTTTGTCTCCAGAAGATATAGATGAAAAAATTAGAAAGGGCTACATTATTGCAGCTTGAACTTTGAATGAGGTAAAACTTCTAAAAGTAGTCTCAGAAATGTTTGAAAGAAAGAAAATACAAGCCTATCCTTGTACTGTTTGCCATTATTATGTTTTACACCGGGAAAACAAAAAGCCATTAACAGTGTTTCATTTCCTATTAAAAAAAAATTAGGGAAAACCCTATGCTTAGTCTTCACAACAGATTGGAACAAAGAAAAAAATTCAGTGCACACCTTGTATTATTCCGCATTATAACAGCGCAGACAATTTTTACAACATAACTGCAGCCTAGATATAGAAAATAGTGCTTCTATAACACAAGGTCTTTTCTGCCAGAATCTGCCTCATGTTTGAATGACATTTGATCAAAATCACAACCTTGCACTCAGTCAATGAGCTACTGATTGACGTGAAAAAAAAATCTTTCTTTCAGTACTTCAGAAAATGTTATGTAAAATGAAGACAAATTTCATGTTCTAATACTATATACAACTTGATGAGGTATGCCATTATGAAATGCCCCCTAAAGTGTGATATGGTAATAGTTTTTGTATATGTACAAAAAAGAAAATTAATGAAGCAAAAAATCACTTCCAACTGCAGAGCTGCAGCAAGTGTACACAGCCAAATAGTCATCAAAATAAGGTTCTCTGTATCATATAACAACTGAACAGAGATCCCGTTTCTTTGTTCATAGAGTACACTGGCCAATTACAGCACGGGAAACAAAGGGAGAGTAAATAACATAAGTATAATAATAATAATACATAGTGACTTAACTCCCCCCAGAAAAATAGGGGGGTCTTGTAGCTGTACAGAACAGTGATTTTCTATCTACTGAATAAATGCTCAGATACCTTAAACACACACGTAAGAATACACAGGCTATGTCAACGTAAACAATATACTGTTGTGAAAAACAAAAAAAAGACATATGCTGTGTATCAGCAATGACATCATTTCTACTTTATAAGATACAGATTTAAAGAAAATATTTAAGATATAGCAGTGGTTACCATAATCACTTGACAACAGAGAGAGAGAGTACAACTTGTACATCCTAAGACAACATTGAAAAGTTAACAGCAAATAAAATTTTGTTAACTAAATATTGGATCATGTAATACAAGATAAATTGATATTTTCACAAAAAATATACATAATTTCTGTACCCAGGGATTTGAATATTGACTTTTACATGCTTCATTGATAAGAGAGTTTCAGTACTGGCCAGAGTTCATTCTTCAATACCCTCTACATATTCATACGTAAGCAAAGATTCAATCATCAAAAGATGTGACAAAGTGTACAAATATACATACAACCACTCTACATTCCACAAATATGAAGTACTTTTACAATTCAAAAAATAGACTAATGAAGAGATGAGCAAACTAACCACTGATGAAATATCTATATATCACAAGAGTTGTTGCCCTTAGTGTAGTACAGGCCTCTGTCTAACTTAGAGGAGAACCTAAGTCACTCCTAAAAGTCAGATTGCACTTTGATGAGCACCTTTTGATGTTAAATATTTCATCATGTGATCAACATCAGCTATAATTCCATAAAGGAAATCTAGGATGATGCACATCACAGAATGAACCATTTATCAAAGATGTAGTTTTTCTCCAATATATACAAAACATCTGAATAATAAATGCAGCTCTTCCTGTGTATATATTTCTTGTCTTCTGATTTTACAGCAGATAATATATGCTGCCTCTATTGGAAGGAGCATTAATTTGCCTTAGTTGCTGCTGCCAAAAGGGAGTTAACTCCTGTACTTCCTGTTATAATTCTGTTTTTTGTCACATTAAGAATAATGACACCAATAGACAATGTATGAAGGCTCGTGAATGCAGTGTGTTAAAGATGAGTTTCTGATATATTTTGATACAATGATAGCTTTGAGAGGAAACAAAAAATGATTTAAAAATGTATGCAATTGAATTGATGATATTTTGATTTACAGGGGTGGAAGACAACACAGCCAGACCTAAAGGGATTGCACAGGGTCACAAATCTGTCCAATGACAACACTGCTTACATCTCTGACACATATCACCGGTACCCGACAACCATTGACCACTGATCTACCAATAGATCTCAAATGCGTTGCACAAAAAAAATTAAAATATATAATTGTACATATAATCAGTCAATACCCGCCTAAAATGAATACCTTATAAAAACCCTGCTCAGCTACAGCCCTTATTTCATGTTATTGTGTATTGGAAATGTATTTTTTTAATGAAAATGTGTAGTTGAATGATAGCACCACAAAAAAAGCTTGACAACTACAAAGATATAAGGGGACCCGTAATGTACAAACACAATAGATTTACAATAGTCAGCTCAATAAAATAGAGGTCGCCAATTGCCATTTATCTTTTTCGTTTAATAATACGCCAAATTAAGTTTCTTATTTTCCCTTCACTCTGAAAATAAAATCTTGAGCTCTCCCTACTTATGAATCATTTACATAGAATGTAAATTAGTCAATGCCAATGAAATATGTAACATTACTACATATAATTAATGATAAGATTATTTCAGGAAGGGAAAAAAGGAAAACTTAAGTAAGTGCATTAAAAATGTCAATTACATCAATTAATAAATATATTACATACATATTGTACCATACAATTAAAGGGGTATTTGAACCCCTTTACCTGTGAAGAAACTACATCTTCACAACAAAAAAAAAAGCATTTATGATGCACAATATGCATGTTTAAACATGGCAGTTAGTTTGGGAATCATAAATATATATGCCAAAGCACTAGCTAATCAGATGTTTTCAACACGTATATTTCACATAACACTGGATGAGATGTGTTTTTTGGCAGATTTTCTTATCAGAAATAATGCAACCCTTTTCCATAAGAATACAGTATATGCCATAACAAACACACACATATTTATATACATTTTCATCTCTTATCAGTGACAGTGTAGCCTTGACATCCAAAGGTGTCCTTGACCTATTTATGTGATCCCATTTTTAGCAATACTGATACACAGTTATCATTATTACACTTTTACAGCACTACACATTATGGTTGTCTATTCTTGTCCAGAGTTAAAACAACTTCCTTTTCATCAATGAAAAAATCCATCTTTTTCCATTCAGCATAAATATAGCACTTGAATAAAAATTCAAACATGATTTTAAAAAAAATCAACTAATCACTAAAAGCACTAAAACTGATTTAAGCACAATTTGAAAAAAAGAAAAAGAAAACATTAACTTTCTGTTTAACACCCTCTGATCAGTTGAAAAAAATAAAATTAATATGTCACCATTAACAACAAAGTTACAACTGATGGAAAATATGCTAAAATGCCAGAGAAGAAACTGCAATTTTTACAAAATATTTACCCCTACAGAATTGAGACTATTTACTTGATATGGAAATAAAGTAATCAGCCATGAATCGAAAGAAATAACACTGGATGATTCATATAATGCAATTGCGGGAAGAAAAATGCCTTGAAGAAAGAACCATCCCAGAAAAATCAATTAAAAAAAGATTATGTAATGCGAAATTCTGCAAACACCCACAAAGACATAGGGAACCTTGCTGTCTCTACCACAGTGAGCGGCGACAGTTAATCGAATTTGATTTCATTTTAGGTTTGGCAATGAGCATGGTATCTAATCTATAATCAAATTAAAACTAGAAACTTCCAACAAGAAACAATTATAGCTTTAAAAATGTTAGTTTCTCCTCGTCTGATTTGCCTTTAATGAAATTTGGGCCACAGTCTCCAAATCAATATCTAAGCAAAACAAATGCTCCATGCAAGGATAAGAAATATATCTTTTAGATAACTGTACCCATTTCTTCTTCTGAAGTTGCTTTAATTCTGGCAGTCGTTTATTTTCAAAATAAAGATGTAGCATTAAAACAATTCTGCTACGTGTCTCTTTCCTTCTTGATTCCACCTGTCCTGCCCTCAGGAGAAAGTGAGTTCCTTTGGGAGGGTGAGTACTGGGGGGCCACTTTTGAGAGCGGTGCTAACTGTTCATTGAACTTTTTGGCCATGACATCAGGAATGATGATACTGTTTCTTTTTAGCTCCTCTTGGAAGTACAAGCAGTCATAGTACAGCTGTTCGTACGCCACTTCGTACTGCCGGAGGCGTGTTTGAAGTTCGCGATTCACTGTCAGGTACTTGGATGCCTACAACATACGAGTTCTATCATTAATGCTTGGATGATAACAAGCCTGCATCAAGTATGAAAAGCATTCTTCAGATTAAATCATGTGCATAAAATTGTAGATCAAATGTGTTTACTAAGGAGCAGGTTTATTAGTCTTTATCGTTCAAATGCTTTGATACATTTAACAACTGAACAAACATGTATACATTTAGACCACCCAGTGATATTTATTCACCAGTAGTAAACAACATCATAACTACATTGAAATAAACTGAGGATATCAAAGTGATTTGTTTTCTCTGTATCTTATTGAAATATCCATATAATTCTTTAATGGCACATTTAAAAAAAAATCATAGATACAATCAAAAATTGACAGAATCGCATAAAATTCACTGAGCTTTAACCACACACTTAAATCAATTTCTGTTGAAAAGTAAGGCATTTTTAAGTCATACATGTCGTGATGTAGAATTATTCTCAAAATGCCACAGAGTCAGTAGTATCACTGTGGATTATTGGGGGGGGGAAGATAACAGATGTGTATATGGCCCTTGTCTGCCTGGCTTGCATCATTCCCTCTAATCCCCCGGTATGCAGACATTGACCCCCCTGTAACAGTGCTGCTGTTTGTGTGTTGTAACAGTTCATGGCCAGTGCCACTGACAGAGTACTCACCTTCCTGATCATGAACTTTTTTGTATATATACAGTTTATATACAGCAGCATTACTTAAAATTACCGCTCATAACAACCACTCCCATGGTTAAATCTTGACTAGCACTGTCCATTTTGTAGATAAGTAAAAATAACTTTGATATACATGTAGTGCCATTGAAAATAAAATAAACTAAAGATAAAATTAAACATTTAACTCGTGCAGACTTACAAATGGAATTGGGATGTACATATGATGATTGTCTTGTTAGGATAACAGCTGAGAAGTTCACAAGAAGTAACCAGTACTTGTCAATTAAGCTTTATAGAGCTTCCAGGCCTCATGACCATAAAGTTAGATGTTGAGACTTTAGTCAACATTTTGATTTTTTTTTTTTAATATTTTGAGTTTGATTTAATGTATTTGCTTATAACATTAACAATTTTGTATTAATAACATTTAAAATTCAAACTAAAGATCAAAATTTTATTTCCTAAGTTATACATATATATAATATTGGTTCAGACTAAGTTTTGACATCAGTCTGTCCTCTGTTCATGGTCTTGAGGCCAGGCCAATGACTAACTCTGTCATCTGGTACAATTAATATGACTTTGGCACCCAGTCTGTGCCACTGCCTAGAAGGACACACAACTTGTAAGCATGCTTCCCTGATCCCACACATTTCCTTCCCCAGGAAATCTGACCAGTCTTTGAATTTATCACAGAATGTTATTATATAGAGATAATTTTTATCCACTACCTGTTTGCATTTGGCTGCCCATAAATATTCTTTTCTGTATATAACATTGGTACAGAACATTCTCACGTTTTGATGCTATTTTTAGCTTGCCAAGATAATTGCCTGTTAATTTAGAGAGATAGTCTACATGTGTTATCCTGAGAGTATAGGGTTTCCAAAGAATATTTATTCTGTGATCCGTAATTAATTCAAAGAGAAAGATACTGCAGCCGTAAATCTCCTCATCCTGTAAGTTTTCTTCCCGTTTGAAAGCAGACACAATTTTTCATTAAAGACTCAAAATAAAAAAACAAATAGCATTGCTACTCCTTGGTAAAATCCAATATCTTCTATACAAATGCAGCAAAGAAAAAAAAAATGTGAGGGCTGGCTCTGGTATTATTGCATGTAATAACAGAGTGGAGGACTGATGTTTTCTGCTTAAAACTGCTTTGAACTTATTTGCTAGCAGTATCAGACAAGGAGTCGCCCTAAAACATTGCTTCCAGTCGCCACTGCACAACAGATAGTCATCGTCTTCTCCACAGTGTTCTGGCCTGTGGTTTATGCTCTAGACATACATACATGTCTAACAATCTTCAAGCAGAATTAGTAATTAAAATAGGTTTTCTGCAAAACTCAGTACTTTACTTCTGTGTGAGACTGAAAGAAAGAGAGAGAGAGGGAGAGACCCTGGAGGGGTGGGATGGGTGGGGGTGACAAGGAGAATTTGAGATATACATTTTGTCACGTAGTAGGTACTGTAGATTGGCAAATATTCACAATGGTTTTAATTTCGCTATGTTCGTGATTTATTAATTTTCCGCGAATTTAAACCCATCGTAAATTTTATTATTTGTTTTTAAACCGTTTAAATGATTATACGAAATTTTAAATTAATTTCTTGCAGCGTGAAATTAAAACCATCGCAATTGGTACTTTTTGAGATATCGTGAAATTTTAACACTGTGGAATTAAAACGACTTACAGTATGATGGAATTAGTGCAATCACAGTAAAAATTGCTACAAATCATCTCTCTACATCTTCTGAATTTTCTAATGACTCCTATCTGTCTCAAAAAAATTTCTGAACTCTTCAAATATTTTCTGTAAAACCATCCATTATCTTTAAAAAAAAAGTTCTAGATTTTTTTGGTACTCAGGAGACAACCATTTCCACTCCAGATAATGCTCCAGACAGCAATTAGCACTAAATATATTTACAAATGACAGACCTTGAATGATGATATCTAGACACTCCCTAATGGCAATACAGCTCATCAAGTACACCTTTTTTTGAAAGGGGGGGGGGGGGGGGGTAAGAGGTAAGGTGATGGGTGACCTTTATCACTAGTATAGGCTGTAAGTAATTAAATACTGCTTTGACTTATACTGCTCCATTTACAATTTTTTTTTTTTTGTACTTTCCATTTCCAACCAAAGAATTATGGACGAGATGAACCAGACACATTAATTTCCCCTAAAGCCAGGTGATATTTCTGAGCCCACTTAGGAAATATTTGATCCAAGGGCAGACCCCAAAGAAAACAGAGCGGCAATCAAGAGATGAAGGGATTTCCATAGTACAAAATTTTGTTTGTACTTTAGTATATAAAAAGAACCAACCCTCCCACCTGATGCAGGATGAAATGCTTTAATAAATCTTTTAACACTTCCAGTATGTACTGAGGCAATTCTGATGTCAAGATTATCTACAAAGAACCACCATTTTTCTATTTGGGAAAAGAAGATGCCTCCATTACTTTGTTGCATAATCCAAGAAAAAAACATTCTTGCTTCAAGAGCGAAATGAAAAGGATTTTTTATGACATAAATTTCTACAGGATAAAGAATTATGTTCTAATGGTGAGCAAGCTCTGCAAGAATTTATTGTACATTCAATGTCTTAAAATTGTTTCTCTGGAAAGGCATTTGGTAAAATGAGTATTGATTTTGATCTGAATTAGAACCTGCCAAGAACAGTACTGGCGATTTTTCCAACTGGGAGTCAACAGACCTTAGTTACAAGCTTATAGCCAGTAATTCATGCTGGGTCAGGCTAAAATGACATTTCTCAGTGTAATGAATGGAAGGCTCTTAGGAGAGCAAAAAGGGGGTTCTTCATGGAAATCATTTCCTTTTGAGTATTGACTAAGAAAATAAATCACTGCCCTTAATTTTATTATTTTTAAATTCCTATGCTGTTAATTGTGAAAACAGAAGCATTAATTCTAAATAAGAATTTAGCTAAAAATGGTTTAACCTAGGATTTCCCCTTCTGGGGCCCCATCTTGGCTAGTGACCATATAATGTTAATTCTGACAGTCTACACACCAAGCTGGACATTACTGAGTAAATAAAACCAACAAATACAGACTTGGCAGACAGCCAAACTAGCCGACTAGACTGACATCCAGATACATGGTCAGTCTGATCTCTCCAGTTATTATGCAGCTGAGGGACAGGAATGTTTTCTCAATAAGTGAAATGGGTCATACCTCAATCTCCTCATTTAAATAATAATTAGGGCAGTGTTTGTGAATATGTTGAAATACTAGTATTCAAAAAAAAAAAATAAATAAAAAAAACATAAACTATAAAATTCCCAATCCCAGGATCTATTTCATAAGGCTGCTGAAAACATATATATATATATATAAAGTAAATCATGAATTTTTCATTTTTTGGGTCTTAACATATCATGAATATTTCATGAGTTCAATATTTGGAGGCAAATAGTTAAAAAGATAAATCAAATGGTCAATTATAACACCCCTCTTATTTAGTAAACTGGGATTACAAAACCAGAAATGATTAATGAAGAAACAACATTAAACCAAATCTGCTCAATTCACCTAAATCATCTATCTTGCCATTTAATGACTGAAAGAAATGAAAATGGCAGAAAAAATATTTTTCATAGTTCCATCCCATTTCTATGTATTATATAACATCAAGACAGTTTAATCCAAAGTACATCAAAGATAGTACCTTTAAACAAAATTCATAGGTAAAACTTACTAGATAAATAAACAATGAATTTTTTTTTTTTACTTTAAACTCAGCCTAGCATAAAATGAAATGGAAAATACACGTATGTTTGAAGAAATTTGGAAATAGTGTACACCAGAAATCTGAACCTATATTACTGTGATTGTATTTGCAGTCCAGAAAACAGGTCATCATATTATAGAGAGATTTTGTTCATGCCAAAACAAAAAATGCAATTTTTCTTTAATTAGGTTGGATTAGTTCTTCCCTGCCCAGACCTTTAATAAGTCTTGGTGACATTTAAATATGAGACATGTTAAAACTGATGAATTCAACCAAGAGTTTTTACCTGAGGTCAAGATGTCCTTATGCTATTTAACCATTTCTCAAATGTAAAAAAAGAAAATTTAGGGATTGGTCATTCAGTTCTCATACTGCAAGATTAACTGTTGTGAATGAATACAAATATTAAATGAGCAAATCAAGATTAGCGTAGACATGTTGGGTATTTCATGCAAAAGCTAGCATTTAAAACTGACGCCAATTTGAGGTCTTTTCTCCCCCTGCATTAAGAGTTCAGTAAGCTCTTTTCTAAGCTATTTTTCTGTGGCTGCATTGACCTTGATTTTCTGCGGAACTGACACTAATGCAAGCTCTGGAGAAAGTGACATTTTTGGCAATGAATCAAGCAACAAACATTCCAATGGGAAATTATACTTTTTTCTCTCTCAAGAATTCTTTCAAATTGGCCAAGAAACTTCATCATCTCCATCTAAAAATTTGGCAGCTATTTTAGAAGAAAATGAGCAATGATTTGAAGTAACTAGTTCCCACTTAAAGAATCCTGGAAGCAAATTATTTCATACTCAGTTGTCCGACGACTCCATATAATTTTTTTTTTCATTGAAGTATATGTGTGTGTTTGTCAGAGAGGTTGTAAAAAAGAGAATGCTATTTTCTGAACCCAGTCCTGCCTTAAGTTTACAATATGTTTGGTCATTCTCAAAGTTCTATTAAATTTTGGATAGAACTAATGCATATCTTAGTACATATGAAGAATATCACACTATAACTTGTAAAAATATTCCTGCCTTTAATTCTGAACATTTCTGCCGATGTGCAAGATATTTCCTTGGACTGCATTTAAAACATATCCATTGTTCTCACAACTTAAGAAGGAAACTGCTTATGTTCATTGAGCTCGAGAACTCATTGTGTGCATATTTATACCCTCCATTTTCGCTACTTTTGTTCTAAAGACTTAAAAGAAAACAAGAGATGTTTGTAAAACACTTATGCCCCCCTCCCCCCAAATTGGAATTTTTCCAATTCCAAGGGGCAAAACTCTGTCAAAAATGGCACAATTGTACCCATAAAAGAATTTTACCTAGATATTCATCTGATAAATCTGTATACTACATTTCATCTCAGCATGTGCACAGTTGTGAAGAAAATGAACGGAAACTGCAAATAAATGGAATTTTTCTAAGTTCAAGGGGTATAACTCTGTCAAAAATGGTGCAATCATGCCTAAACCAGAACTTGACCTAGATTTTTATGTGATATATCTGTATGAAAAATTTCATTTCAGTATGTACAACGGTTGCAAAGAAAATGAACGGAAACTGCAAATAATTGAAATTTTTCTAAGTCCAAGGGGCATAACTCTGTCAAAAATGGCGCGATCATAACCAAAACAGAACTTGACCTAGATATTCATGTGATATATCTGCATACTAAATTTTATCTAAGTATGTGCAACGGTTGTAAAGAAAATGAACGGAAACTGCAAATAATGAAATTTTTCTAAGTCCAAGGGGCATAACTCTGTCAAAAATGGTGCGATCGTACCCAAAACAAAACTTGGCCTAGATATTCATGTGATATATCTGTATACCAAATTTCATTTCAGTATGTGCAACGGTTGCGAAGAAAATGAATGGAAACTAAGTGGACCGACAGACCGACGGACCGACAGACCGACCGACAGACAGCAGCAAAGCAATATGCCCTCCCTTCTTCGAAGGGGGGCATAAAAAATCAATGTCTTCCCTATCAGTGTCCCACAATCTCGAAAACACTGGAAGAAACTGTGACCTTTCCCTGCCAACAATTTATCAATTATTAACAATTAGTGACAGAACTTGATACAGAGGACAACAATCACAATACTAACAACACAGCTCCAACAATGAGTACATGCACCGAAAGATCTTTGTCATTTATAGCTCAGACATTCTTTGTTTACCTCTGCTTCTTCCTGGTCTTGTAGGCGTTTGATTTCCTTGCGGAGCGTGTCTTTGTCCTCGAGCGCTTCCTCCAGCCGACACTCAGACTCAATCCGCACTCGCTCCACATCTTTTTCCAGACTAGCACACTGCTCCGTCAACTTCTGCATCTTTTCTTTACTAGAAGCTTTCAATGAGGCAAGTTCCTGCCATTGCAAAGACATAAAAAAAATTAATTGAAAATTGAAGTCCCTTACCAACATTTTTTTTAAAAAAACTTCTTGGTAGGACTTTGCTTTAAAGACAGTATGTACCTGCTTGAGTCTTCTTTTCTCTTGCTGGGCTGTATTGAGCTGTTCTTGACTTGTAACACGAAGTCTGGAAAACTCATGAAGGAATGCGTCTTTTTCTTCCTTTGATGAGCCCACCTTTCCATCTAATGCTTTGTGAATCAGCTCAATTTCCTTTTCCAGTGTACAGAATGTCTCCTGTGATTTAGACTCTTCACCTAATTAGAACAATTAAGAATTTCAAATAAAATGTCTTCTGAATTTCCTAATTATAGCTGGATACTATGTCAATGTCAGTACACATGTACATGACCAACTGGATCGCCTACTTCATAGATCACAATCTCACATAATGAGAATTACAAAAATTATATATTTTTAAAAAAGAAAAGTTTGGATTTTTTTCCTTCAAATTTCTACATTTTAAATCTTTACTTTGTCTTCTCTCTATTGACAAAATATTGCATTTTTACATAAAATGCCAACTCTACATTCATAACCCAAGCCAAAAACATGACTTATTATCTATATATCTATTCAAAATCAGTCCATATATAAATGTCTGGCTATCTACATGTCTGAAATCAGATATGGCACCCAGAGGACCTATAAACATTCAGTAGTACTCCATAAATAAGCTGGCCTACCATCAGAGGTTTGAGATGAGTCATCCGATTCACTGGGCAGGTCCCATTCCTTGTACTCCGGCTTACTGCAGCTGGCCACAGGAGAAATAGGCTCAATATCCCCCTCATCCTCACTGATGTCATCCACGTTAATTTTAGGCTGATGGGGTGCCAGGGATACATTGGGGGCAAAACCTCTCTCATACCTATTAATATTAAAAAATCAAAACTATAGAATTCATTTTAAAAAGGGAATATAATTAACAGATCTTTATAAATAAATTAAACAAATTAATAACAATAAGTAAAAATTGTCCTGAGAATTTTTGCATTAAGTTCAATGCCTTTAAGGAAACTGCAGGGGGAGATCTTATAATAGATCTATTTTACTGTTGTAAAATCGTTCCACATGTTTTATGTAATTAATGTTCCTTATCTATCTTTTTTTGTAAAAATGCTTAGTGCAGCGCTCAGGATATTGCCCTTCGTGTACTAAGTGACTGCAATATGTGCAACACAATACATCTGTTTATAATGGCAATTATTAGTCATGTGATCCATATTCTAATCTATGCAGTATTAAACTTCCATTTAAAATCTGTTTTTGCAGTTGAAAAAAGTGTGCGACTTACTACATATGCATTTATATTTTCAAAGTGCTTTGTGGCGCCACATTAATGATTTTGTATTTATAAGGGGCCAATGAAATGTGCATCAGACTATGACAAATGTCAACAGATGATGACAACCTTCACGTACCGAGGCATTAAATGGCACACAGGAATGCACATTGTGTCTGTGCATTAGAGAAAAAAGAAATTAAAAATAGAAATGTTTGTATTTGGAAATAGTTTGGTATCAAAGAAAGGATCTTGATTAGCCGAGTCTGGCAGACAAATCATATTTATGTAATGACAGACAGGGGTCTGCTGCTATTTATTTATCTAATCAGGGGCCTATTAAGACTGGAATCTCCCAGATCTGGTGCGGTTCTGTATTTACAAGTTACACAAACTCTAAGTAAAGCAGGGCCCTGACCTTGAACGTCTGCCATGTCGTGCAGCTATATCACTGTAATCTAGTACTCCTTTAAACAATTGACGAGGGTTAGGGGTCAAGCTTTTATCAGGTTCCCGACACAAAACAGCTCTGTTACACAATACGTGTATTCATTGACCCTCCTTTGAGAACACAACTGTCTTCTACTTAAATAAAGGATACGGGGATTATCTGCCTGTGTGTCCCACCTTCAGAAATAATGTTCATTACTGTTTTTGCTATTGAGAGTATGATTAGGGGTGCGGTATTTGATCTACTCAGTGCAGGCCAGAGGACTATACCCGTCGTGACATGTGAAATGGTATACTTTCACCCCCTAGCCTTTACCTACTCAGACACTTCAATTCAAGGGCTCAAGATCAGAGAAAGCACTGCTATTGTCAAACAAAATTTTTGCTTACAGACTGACAGCAATTAAAACATTGAGTAAATTGGGTGGAACAATAAGCAGAAAGGTGATATCTTATAAACGGCTGATAATGAAGGGCTGACAATACTTCTCTCCGTGGCTTGTCTGTTTTGTATTAGAGTGAATTATTAGGAAGCCTTGGTATGAGTAATATCAAAAAATTTTCTCGTCACCTGTGCCGACTTACTTACACCCTTTATAAAATGCTTAATCATCAATCAAAAGAAACAAAACATTTAAAAATCAAACATTTTCCATTCAGCCTCGGATTGTATGAGAATTCTAACACCGACTATATGAATAAGAAGTGAAATTTCTCTTACGATTTTGTATCGGCATCTGTGACAACTCTTTCTGGGTTGAGCAGTACTGGAGGACCCCTGTGTAAATAAGAAGGTGTGGCCTCACTAGACCTACAAAAATAAAACAATAAATAGCTAATCAATAATGAATATCTATAGCTACAAAGTCACATATTGAACAATGATATGATTTCTAATAAATCTTGAAGGAAAAAACTATAATGAAATTCTTTTTATTTAATTTGTTCCATATGTTTCTCTAGGCAATTATTTCATTTCAAGCTTGCAGAAAACTTTACCTGTAGTTATATATATATGCAAGTGCTAAAGTGTCAAACAACTAATGCATGACCACAAAACTGTGATCAGACAAATGTTTAGCAATGACTGGTCAAAAAACCAAAGTAATAACAGTTGTGAGAAAATTTTGACACCAGTTAATTAATTCCTGGCTCCTCTCTTGCTAATCATCACCTTACACAACTCCGCAGACCTTCCACAGAGGATTCTGACCTTTCATTTTCAAGGCAGTGTACTTTTGTGTATAATTCAATGGTACTGCAATATATTTTTTAAGTTTACCCAAACTATTTGTGTCTGGACAATAGAAAGAGGAATTCTGTATATGAAGTGCTTGTGTTTAAAACTGTTCTACAAACAACTTCAACCACAAGGCCCACAACATTCTCTTTTCTGCACTGAATTTTAACAAAGCCCTTTTGTCACTTGGGGTTATTTTTACAACAAGCAGTGACACCTACACATCTCTCATGATTGAGGGAGGCTCGGGAAGCCCTTTGCTGTCCTTCATCGCACTGATCATTCCCGGAGACCAGGGTCTGAATGCTGAACCCCCTCCCTGCCTTGAGGCCTCACCCCAGGAGCTGTAGTCCCCATCCTCACTCTTTGACCTCTTCAGATCACTCAAGGAGTCAGTAACCTACAAAAAAGATGAGATTTTAATCTTCTTAAACCCGACATAATAATGCAGTGGATTAACTTGCACAGAGTCTGTGACGAAACTAATCCCCTCTATGACATCTTATTCCAATTGTCAAAGATTTCATGACCAGATACCTTTGACAATAAATTAAAAGATATCCCAACTTTAAAAGACATAACCGTTACTCAAAGTTTAAGATAGGATCATTACTGTTTGATCATTGTAACAGTACTAATTTGCCCTTTGCTTGTTATCACTGTTAGCATACTTAAATTTGCTTCAAGAATTCCTTCCACAAAATAATGAGCTGCATTTTTCTCCTTATTTCAAATCCAAAGCCTTATATATACATATCAACCTTATTGTGTCCCGAGACTAAACTATTCTTCGAAATAAAAATCAATGGAACCTTTTGAAATCATGCTCATAAACGGCTTTGATAACTGTATAAAGACCATATGCATAACATCAAAGTAACTTTACAATTTTCAGATCAAAGATTGGACACCCAGAAAATATCACCCCCACAGTGGTTCGACGGTAGACTTTGTGAGCAATTACGACAATCATTATTCTACTGTCTGTGCCAAGAATTACTTTTAACAAATTTAACCCAAACTACATGCAGCTCACACTAAAATAGACAGGATTCTTCTCTTCCCTACTGGTGGGAACGTTTTCATGTGAACCGGGACATCACACACATTACCGATTTCTTTCATACAGCCCTACCTAGTTCATACATCTCTAAAAATTCATTAGGCACTTCAATGATTAATTCAGTTAAAAACTAGAATGTCATAATAAAAGTAGCTAAAAGTTTTGGGAAAAAAATTCACTGCTCAAAAAAAATTCCAAGAGTTAAAAAGTGGGACACGACAGACACCTTATCAAATCAGGGGAGAGAGACTTGAAAACAATTTTATGGCCATCTTGAAACAGAATGTACGTCTTTCAAAAAATCAATAGAACTTTTAAACATCATGACACAATTTCTAGTTGTACAAAAGATAAGATCCAATTTCAAGTTCATTTAGCCGAGCCAGCTTTGTAAACATGTTCAAGGTTGCTTAGTGCAAGGAGGAATGTTGTTGTTCAATCTCAGCATGCCCCCCTTTCCTCACAAATGACAAGATTCTATATTTAGCCCCAGATAACAATGCACAGGCTTACAGAGAGGATGTAGTTTATGAACTCTTTTCTTATTTGGTGTAAAATAAAAATTTTGACAATGATCATTAACACCTGGTGCTAAACATTGAACTTGTTTGGCCATGATACTGGGTGGGGATAATCTTAAGTTCACACATTCATATCATACACACGTGATTATCATATTACATAACATTGCGTCATATGTGATCAAGACTTTAACATGGAGTATGATTACCAGTTGTGTATTTGGGCTAATAACCTTGCATGTGACCTATATTTGATGTGATTATGCAACACTCCTAAATATTCTAGTACATAATATGCCATGTTGTGCCTCAGGATACATATAAACTTGATATAATATGCATGACCTTTAGTTACCCCAAGAGTGTATAAAGTTCAAGAGTTCAATTATGCAATGATCATTCACCTAAATTAGACAGGTGGTCATAAATATATTTGTTATATAAAAATCTTAATAATAGAACTACATGGTTGAAACTAGCACAATAAAATGCATGTATATAGCATCATACTGTACATGTAAAAACCATAATCTATTAAAAATTTTAACTATTTTTAAATTACCATGAAATATCATTTATTTCAAAATTATAAATACATGTATGCAATGCCATACCAAATAAAATAGTAGAATGAAAATATAGTTGCTTTATATTTTTAAGTTTCACAATTATTTTACGAAATTGAATTGGTGGTATTCTTATGAAAAGATGAAAAGATAATTTCAAAAAACATTGTTTTTTAATTTATACTCCAGAGAGTATATAACCAGTTGGTTAAATATTATAATAAACCAACCCAACCTTTGAACTAAATTAAAAATTGTTACTTTATTTCTTGAAAGAAAAACTATTTTGATGATCAGATCTGTTGCACAACTGTGTTCTCTGAAATTTAATTTCATGCTCATCTGGAACTAAGACAAAATATCTTCAAACTAAAATATTTTACTGCCAAATGAATATACTGTCTCTAAATATTCAATTTAGGCCACACCAATTTAATTTCTTGTTCGTCGGACATTTGATGAAAAAAGTATGAGCGGGCTAGCGGTTAAATAATAATAATATTACTTTTTTGTGGGCAAATGTTTAGGCGGGCGTGAAAAAATTTGAGCAGAAAATTATATTTTTTCTGCTTTGCAAAGTAAATAGATTGAAAGTATGATAAATAGAGGGGAAATGGAACAAAAAACAGCACAGAATTCCCATGGTGCGGGAATTTCAAATTAATATTATTTGTTTAGTTTAGTTTGAATAGGAGCGCGTGGTTCGACGAACAAAAAAATTTTTTTGGTGTGGCCTTATAACCAGGAATTCTAGATCAATGTCACTAAAATAATTCTTGTTTTCTACATTTATTCAAATATATCATAAAAATCTTTATTAATATACATATTATGGATCACCTTTGTCATCAGGGTCATTGTTGTCCCTAGGACCCAGGGGGTCAGGGACTTTACCCAATACCCAACTATAATAACATAATCTCTCGGTTATTCTGGCATTCACCAACAACACCCTTTTAATGGAGGAACCCCTGAGCCGGGAGTGAGCCCCTTATACTTTTTTAATGTCCCTTGTCTTTTTTTAGAAACAAACCTTGCAGGGTATATTAATTGTTGATAGTATTATATTATTTTTTCAGCAATCCAAATAGGTAAGAATTTTTTAATTAAACTTGTATGGTAAAGGAAGTAATTTATACAGAACGATGAATCTTATCAAATATGTAGAACATAAAACCCAGAAATTTGACCAATGTCCCATACATATACAGTAGTCGTATAGACATATGAATATATATATAACAATACCATGGATAGGATATTGCAAAATATTGGATCAATTCTGTCTCTAAGTCTACATAATCAGTTTTTCCTGTGCTTAATAAAGATTTTATACAGCTTAAACATCAAATATGTCAATTGTAAGCCCAAAGCATTGTGACCCCCCCTAGTCAATGCAATCCTTTAAAGTCCAAAAGACTATATAAACAGTTTTTTTTCTCCCGCTACTCCAGTACACAGTATACTAGATCTACTATTGATTTGGCTGAATGCCAATGTAATCTGGCTGACCGAGTTTTTGCAAATTTTTACCTAAGGCTCCTACCACACACATAATAATACCTGGCAGACAGTTTTACAATCTATAATTCTCCCTTAACACCTTGCCTGTATTAACTATTATGTAACTAGACCAAGATTCAATGACCATCTTCCATCCTAATTGGACAGTCAATCTGACCTTTACAGCTAAACCAGTCAATAAACTGCAGTCACTGACTGGGAAAGGGCGGCAGGCTGTAGCTTTGGTCGTACCAAGTACTTGTGGCTGCAATAAGCACATTGGTATTATCATGTACTTGCACCAAAAAAATATTAAATAATCTTGAAGTTAAGCATATGTACATGAGGATAACATTCTTGTCTGTTAAAACTTGTCTGAAGAGTTCCATGCTTGATAGCCCAGGACAGGTGTGCATTTTAATTGCATACAGCTGTGTGGTTTTAAATTCCAAATTTATGCACAACTTAAAGGCAAGATTCTGTTTTCCTGCTGGTCTCTGCAGTTATTTTTAGTTCAAACATTGCAAAAGCTCCATCATTTTTTTTCATTTGCTAAGAAAATCTTCAAATTTTGTGTCTTGTTTTGTGTTATGCAGAAGAAGTACAAATTATACGTTTATCACATATATATCATAGTTACGCACTTGGACCTTTCAAAATATGTCAGTACTCTGTACCTTTACCTGACTGAATTCATGACTGAACTGGTCAAAAAATTTGATGGAGAAAAAAAACAATTTTGAAATTGCTTCCACATAATATTTTGTAAAAGACCTTGCAATATCACCTGTTTCTAATCCTGTTGAAGGCCTTGCAGACTTTGTAAATTTTCAAATACCCGATGAACTGGAGATGGTACTGTTTAAGATTGCATTAACTTGCAAGTATAACTATCTTGCACAACTATGAATGTTGGAATTGTACGCAAAAGGAGTTGCCCTTTACACTATGTACATTGATACTTTCAAAAACAGGTACATCTTTCGAAAGCTTTTTATATCTTAGAATAGCTGTAATCCTGTACTCTCTTTCAATACACAAACATTTTGTAAGACTAGAACCACACTGTCTGATTGCTTTGATCATGGGTTGAGGTACCTCATTGTTTTGGGTGACATAACTTCTCTGTGGTAGTGGTCATTTTGTCTTCAACTTGAAGTTTAACCCTCATCTGCCTTATGGCTAAAAAGTTATTGCCAAATTTAAGAGTATATGAACAAAAACTAAAGAAAACCTATTTTACTAATCCACATTTCAATTTTTATAAAAAATAAAGCTGAATTTGGAGGCTACAAGATAACAACAAAACTTTTAAAGAATAATTTCTTTTTAAAAACATCAAATTGAAATTCATGCAATTACGACTTTTAAAAAAAAAAAACATTTTCGGGAATTTTATTTAGTGAACATTTATAGGACCACATAAATATATGTTACATGCATGCTGCACATGTTCTCTGCTCTTAATCTCTTAATTCACATTTTATGTCATGCACATCAGTAAATATTAAAGATAACCTGTTAAAAAGTTCATTAACACATCCTTTTATCATAAAACCAACAAAATATATACCGGTAAGTACTTTTGAAAGTTTTCCATATAAACTAGATGATAAATGTACTACACATAATATCGAAAAAAGTTGATAGTACTCAGATAATTTTGTATGCACATGTTCAATGTTGAATACAATTATTAAATATTTAATCAATTAAGATAAAATATTTCTAAAGTGATTAATAAATAGACAAAAAGTTTGCACATGTTAAACTCTTTTCCAACGGACAACATTCTCTCTCTCTTTTGAACTGATCCTCTGAAACTTCCCATTCCTGAACATTACAAAATACTTCCTCCACATTGTAAACTGTTTATAATTCCAATCTAGGCGTTGGAAGCAGACAAATATCTATTCAAATTGCAGTTTATTTTTAGACTCCCTTAACTTCAATTTAGTACATATGGAAAATAATTTGATACTAGCCTAGATGACACATGAGTTTATACTTTTTATTATAGACACAGTTTTTGCTCCTGGTCAGAGTAGAGGTGAATGCCTCATAAAGACCATCCTGACAAGGAAATGTAATGGTCACTTTCCACGAAATCAAAAGACCAGTGTCATTCACCTGATAGTGTTAACTCAATGACAAAACATACATATATCCTAATCAGATATTCAGCAGAGAGATGCCTAATTAGCATTAGGATGTAATAAAACCTTTGATTGAACATGATCAGATCAAAATGTACAACGTTTCACTAGTGTAGCAGTACTATAACATATAATAAAATTTTGAAAAGGATAAAAAAGGAATGCATCAAAATAAGTTCACTGAAACATTTATGTGTATTAACATGCAAGTGTTTCACATTTGTGTGCCTTTCATAATGCATACCAGTTGGTATTTCGAAATTCTCCTTTAACATGCAGTCAAATAGTCATTTGTTTGATGTTACTCTGACAGACAGGTGAAAGACTCATTTATTTCATGAGACATTTATGAAACAAACTTTCCACTTTTACAAAACACTCCAAGATATGTAGGCCTATAACATAATTCCATACTTTACAATGCATGCAAAAACACTACATTCTAACATTAATTGCAATATATTGTGTAATTTTAATTGTAAAATACTGCATTTAATTAAGATACTGAAAAAGTAGTTACCTGTTTCCTCTTGCGATTTGTATCGAATTTTGCTTTCATTTTCTCAAGTTCCTTCTGTAACTTGTCTTTCTCCTCCTGATCTTTTGCTAGGAGGAGATAGGACCTCCATTTGGAGGAGTCGAACCCCCAGTGACATACATTATTCTCTGCCTTGTGTGAGTGTCGCACAAACTTCTGTGGACTAAAAAGTCCTGAACAGTCACAACACAGAATGCACTTGTCATTTGCAGACATGTAGTTCTCCGGGTAAAAAATACCCTTACATTTTCCAAAGCATTCATGATACACTTTGAAACTTTCACGAGAAGGTGGTTTTGAGTATCTCTCAGGAGACCTGTGAAGTAATGCATTACACAGGCGTTCAGCATCAGTTTTTGTGATCAAGCCACAACTGGGTGCACTGAGGGGTAAAATACCAGTCACTTTTAATAATTCTAGCTGCTCTGGATTGCATCTAGAGCAGAAAATATGCAACTCGTCGCACACTGCGTTTATTTGTTGCAAACTAAACTCTCTCAACACTGTGTTTAATATCTGGGGTAAGCACAACCGTTTCTCTCCCCCAACACTAAAGCAAGCTATCCTCTCTTCCTCTAGGAAAGTGTCCAATTTTTCACTTTTACCAGAGTCCATAGGAGTAAATACAGGTCCGAAATGCTGAATAGGAAACGGCGGAGGGGCGCGTAAAGCTCCAAATTCCATTTTGTCTACAGTCGGCAGTTTTTTAACCAATGCCTTTCTATATCGCTCTAACTCGGCCATGTCGGAGAGTAATGTAGGAAAAACAGTAGGCCCTGGTCCTTGCAAACTTCTCATAGCAGCAGTCTGATAGCTTTTCAAGACCCTTTGGAGATGAGGGTTACCCCCCTGTATACTAAGATGTTCCATGAAAACAGAATCTCCCTCGGGTTCCGTTGTCCCAACATTCACGTGTTTTCGCTCCGTTGTGTATCGCGTCTATCAGCATACTGTTAGGGGAAAATACTTGGCTGTTCTATCAATTGCTCTGCAAAAAAAAATACAACGTCAAATATTGCTCAAAGATAAAATTTTATGAATTAATCGACACAGTTTAATGAAATTGTCATATTTTAATTCATATTTATGCATTTTGACAAATATATTAAAAACTTTACACCAAAATACGAAAATAAATGGAGTCTTCCGTCTAGACCAATCCATGTATATTTGGGTTTCATGTCGCCAGTGTATTAACCTCCCCAGTAAACTGTCTGCCCTCACTATAAATTAGTCGTTAAAAATTCTTGCTCTTCGAATCAGGATTATTTTCTCAACATTATTTTACTGATTATTTAATTTGTTTCTTGACTGTTTTTCTCTCTGGATATGCACCAGGATTTATAGAGACGTTTACCGGAGTATGTTCTCTCGGATACTTGTCGAGACGACTGTGACGTCACAGGCAACGTCACGGTGTCTATATTTATTAGACTATAGTCTATATCAATTTTTAAACAAATTAATCAATGAATAAGCATTTTTTAAATATCCAGATTATTGAATAAAAATAACTGATAACAACAGCAACAAGACAGATAATGAAAATAAACATACTAATTTAAAAATACCTAAAAAGCTAGTACTGATTAAATCAATACTTAAACAATGGGAGAAAAGGTACCTAACTCCAATAGGGAAAATTACAGTCATTAAGACATTAGTTTTACCTTTATTAAATCACATTTTAATGTCAATACCAAATCCCACTGAATTATACTGCAAAGAATTAGAAAATATATTCTTCTCATTTCTATGGAGTAATTCAATTCATAGGGTTAAAATTATTGTTAAAAATTATGAAGATGGGGGGTTGAAAATGTTAAACCTAAAGTCTTTTATATCTTCTATGAAATTATTTTGGATAAGCTAGCTCATTTTTACAAATAGGGATATGGAACATCTCATCCCAAATTTTAACTTAGACAAATTATTAAACTGTGGAATTGACTATGTCGCAACTTATCTGAAAACTTTGAAAAATAAATTTTGGATAGACGTTTTCAAATCCTGGATAACACTACAAAATCAAGAGATAGCGTCTGAAGTTGCTGGCGACTCACCTTTGTTTTATAACCCAATTCTTCGTATTGGGGGAAATCTTTTTATAATAAACAAATGTTTGACAGCAACATTAGACGGGTTAATGATATCATGAACGAAGATGGTTCTTTTTCAAGTTTTGAATCATTTTGTAATACTTATCCCATGATTAAGATCAATTTTTTTTAGAATATAGTAGTATTATTCATGCTATCAAGTCTTGGATAAAGAATTCTGGCCCTGATATATCTATCAAAAAGCTAGAAAACCCATTAATTATGAGAAATATTTAAAGGTGATGAAATGTCACAAATCCAAATGTTTTTATGAAAGTCTTAATCAAAACTCTTCTGTGTCAATAGATAAAACAAAGTGGAGTGAGATATTTTACAGGTTGACAATAAAGAATGGAAAAAATTCCACAAAATACCCTTCAGAGTGACAAAAGACAGTAAACTCTAATGGTTTCAGTATAGAATTATAAACAGAATATTAGCAACAAATTTATTTTTATTCAAAATTAACAAAAATGACTCTAAGTACTGTAATTTTTGCCACTCGGAAGAAGAAACAATAGAACACTTTTTATGGGAATGTGAATATACACAATCATTTCTAGAGGAATTTGTACTTTTTCTTGAAGATAAGACTAGTCTAGTCATCAATATTACGAAGAGAACTTTTATTTTAGGTTACATCGAGAATAATACTGATATTCAAAATACTATTATCCTTTGGCTGAAATATTATGTTTACACATCAAGATGTACTAAGAAACCTTTGAATTTATGTGCTGCAATATCACAAATGAAGTTTTATTACGAAACACACAAATTTATCTCTTACAGAAATAGTGGAAAAGAAAAATTTGATGCCCAGTGGAACAGTTGGAACCAACTTTTTCTTAAACTCTCTCTCTCTCTCCCTCTCTCTCTCTCCCCTCTCTTTTCTCTCACTCTGCTTTATTCCTCTTTCTACCTCTTTCTATTAAAAAAATACATCATGTATTAATTCAATGTATAATATTGTATACAGAGATGTGAAAAAAAATAAAATAAAAATAGCTAAAAAATAATAATTATTATTATAAAAAACAATTAAAGGAAGAAAGAACACTGGACCAATATGAAAAATAAGAAACCTAGAATACTATCTATTTATATCAATTATGAAATATTAAAAAATTAGTTCGTTTCTAATAAATTATCAAACACAAATTTTAGGTCAAAATGAAGGCTCATTACATGTAGAGTCATTATTTGCCATTACTTGCACCCTTAGTACTAAGCTTTGTACATATACGTTTATCTCACACGGTTTGGTTTGTTCGGATCCATATAGACAACATATCTGAGCACTTTCTACGTCCGAATAGACAACATCCTAAATAGGTCATCACAATTATATTTTTGGTTTTATCCAAGAGGATGGCATTTCATAATGAGTTTTTAATGCTAAAATTTTTAAAATTGCCCATTGATATATATGCAATATAACATACCAGCTGGTGAAAATCGGGGTCTTAATTGGTGTCAACTGACGTGACAGATATTAAATTTAGTTTTATTTTAGATTAATAAAATCAAAGGGGTAGCTGCACACCTGTACCTCTCTGGTTGAGAAAATTCGGACAGACAAAGCAGAGATTGATTGATTGATTGTATGATGTCCCTCTCGAGAATTTTTCACTCATATGGAGACACCACCACTTGCCGGTGGAGAGCTACAAATTTTGTCCTATACTCGGCACTCTGGGCGTTGAGCAACGAGGGATCTTAAATTTCGTGCCAGCACCTACCGGGACATGGGACCTCTGCTTAAATACTGTCTCATCCGAAAGACCGGTCTCCACGTCCCACAGTGGGATTCGAACCCGCGACGTAAGAATCGACTTTTTACTTTGCGATTCTAGAGCAGACGCTCTGAACACTGTGCCACGCGGGCGACAGGGGAACGCATATAATACAAGAAGTAAAGCCAAAAACAAATGAACAAAAACAAAGCAAACAATAACAAACAAACAAACAAAAACAAAGGCTTGGAGTCGCCCGCGTGGCGCAGTGGTTAGAGCGTCTGCTATATAGAGTCGCGATCAAAGAAAGGAGTTGATCCTTACATGTACGTCGTGGGCAAAGACAATAGATTTGAGATGTTTTGGTAATAGAATTTTAACCCATAGAATAATAATAATAATGCTCTATTATTATACTATGGTTTAAAAAATTATTACCGAAACAAGTGCCTGTGGTCGCGGGTTCGAATCCCACCGTGGGACAAGGAGACCAGTCCTTCGGATGAGACCGCATAAACCGAAGTCCCGTGTCGCAGAAGGTCCTGGCACGAAAAAGATCCCTCGCTACTCAATGGCCGTAAGTACATGTACTGAGTATAGGACAAACAAAAATAAGGCTTTGATCTGTAGCTCTCTTTTTTTCTGTCCTAATTTTCTTAACTAGAGAGCAGCTTCAGGAAAAGAAGCCACGAGGCGCAGAGATAAGTCGTTTGCTTGATTCCTGGAGTAAGGAGTTGATCTTCACGTCGTGGTTCAAACCCCATTGAGGAACATGTAGACCGGCCTGTGGATGAGACCGATTTTAAACCGAGTCCCGACTGTTGCAGTAGATGCTGGCACGAAAAAGATCCTTTACTGCAATGCTTGAGTGACGTGTACAAGATTCAATATGCAGACCCACAGGCAAGTATGTCATTTCAATATAAGTTGAAAAAAATTCTCGTAGGGACTAGACACCTTGAGTAAAATTTCAGCTTTGATTTATTTCATGTTGATAAAGACTTAAAGATGACCTTTTCTCAGATGCAAAAGAATCCCGCCGATAAGATGGACGAACACCTAGTTTATTAACGACTTGTGATTTACTGCATGGATCTACTTTTCATGCCATACATGTAGTTGCCCCTAAGTATTTCACGCAAAATATCTTAATTTTTTTTTCATATCCATTTTTATCAACAAAATATAATACGCAATAAAAACTCTTTTAACAAGGAAATATTATCATGTAAAAGGAATGGTTTTGCGGTTACAAACAATGAGACTTTGAGTTATTAACTTATCAATTATTGCACTCCGAATTTCTCCTGTATTTTATTTTTAAAATAAATTTTAACATATTCTTAATCCCATATCACAAAAATCTGAACAGAATTTTTTTCTTATCTATAACCACAGTTTGCCTTTATTGCCGTTATTCTTTTGTATCAATATTTTATAAGTCAATGATCAAATTTGTGAGAGATATGTTGTCTGCAATGATTTTTGTTCATATTTTTGAGAATAATTCAACCCAGTATATGTTGTATCTCAAAACTCCATTTTTCCCAAATTGTTGTGTATTTCTCGGTTAAACCTTGTTACAAGTTCGTTTGAGTAACATAAATTTTTATTTTAATATCACTCAATGGATCCGGTCGACTTCAGCTATAATTACAAAGTTTGGGCAGCAAATGCATGTATAGATAGATGCTCAAATGATGATCGATTTACCCAAATATGAAAAGATCCATGAAATGCACTCAAATAATTAATAGAGGAATATTTTTTCTAGATGATAGAATTTCTCAGAAGCGTTAAGTTTATGATACAGACTATAGTAATTCTACACTTGAATGGAAACATACGCCCCGCTACCTGTCTCGTCACGATCAGATTATTCCAATATTCCGCGAAGTGGGGAATTCAACCACACTGTGAACTTGCTTAATTTTTCGATGATATACAATAACCCTCTTAACCACGGCGAACTGACAGGAGATCACAGGTCGCACAGTGCACATTAATATAGGCCTAATATGTCAATCTAGGTAAATGTTCAATTATGATAAAAAAGGAACCAAATTTGACCTACATGATGCTACATCCCATTTTGCCGTAATGATTGTGCCCCATACAAAAGAAACTTTTTTTCATTC